TTTATAATAGATTAGTATTATTATTTTATACTGCGTATATCACAAAACTGCCATGAACTATTTTTTACAAAAAACAAAATAAAACTACCATGAACTGTTTAATCCCATTCGGATGGGCCGGCCCAAAGGCAAAGATGATCCCAAACCTAACCCAAGCCTTATATTCAATGCAACACCCCCATTCCACACGAAACCCCCTGGATTCACGCCGACACCCAGACCTATCCCTCTCTCACTCTAATCGCAGATCGGAGAAGATAATCGCAGCGAGCGTCAGATCTCTAAAATCATGCTGAGGCCAGAACCAACAATGGTGGTCTTGCCGGGCATACCCTTATTCCACACAGACCACCCGCAGATCTACGCCAACATACTGGACCTCTCCCTCTTACGCTCAAACAAACCTCACAGATCGGAGAAGAGATCGAAGTGACCACCACAACTCCAAAATCAGTCTCCGGTCAGAATCAACAACGATGGTCTTCCACCGTCATACCTCAGAGACAAAGGTAACCTCTCTATGCTCACTCCACAACTAACCACCTATTCGGACATGAAACTGAACATGCACAAACATCGCAACACACAACCTCTTTCCCGCACCTCTTTTGACACTAAAAAACCAAAAAAAAAACTGTTGAAACTAACACAAACCGTAAAGATCTTCGAGCGATAGATCTGCTAAATATTGTTTGTTTTCTAACAAAAGCACTTCATATTTTTAAAATCCAACGATCGACAATATTGTTGATTTTTTTGGGAATAAATCCGTGAATGAATCGTCTAAAACCAAAATAATATAAAAACCTACAGATCTCCAACATGCGAAGGTCACAATTTGTTTTTACATTTCTTAATATCACCTACATTATTTTCACAATTAAAAAACGTTTTTACAACCTCTTCTTCAAAATCTATACTAATGTTCCCCGATTATATTTAACCATAAGTTTTTTCTTTCAAGATTATATTACACTCAGGCTTGTTCTTAAAATATATGTTAATTATCCAGGATAAACTATTCCAATAATATACCCGAAAAAGATTTTTACATTGTAATGAAACATATATCTACAGTTTTGGTTTTTAAATGCATTCGGTAATTATTTTTTAAAACAGTAAACAGATTTTTGAAATCAAAAATAAATTATACGAAGTATGCTTTAAATTTTTGGAACAATCCGGAGACCTCAAGCCCTTAGCATATACAATGTAAATTTTTTATTTTCAAAACACAATTTGCGCAGGGAAAAAATTATTAGAGGAATCTAGAGCACAATTATAAAAGTACAGACAACCGAAAAACCGAACTCAATTAATTAGACGGGCCCACCCACATTCAATTTTCAAAATACACACTGCCCAACACCCACCCGACTTGACTTAATTATTCTGGAACCTCCAACCCACCCATCAATAATTTAATATTGTGGAACTACCAACCCAACCAAGTTTTTACACAAATACTCCGTAACAGTGAAAACTAATCATCACCCCCGTTTACTCTTAATCCACACCAATCATCCTCTAAAATCACTATTTTCAATTTGAAAAGCAACCAATAGAGTAACAGCACTTTACAGAGATAAGATTTTCTGGATTTCTAATGTGATGTGTTCAAATGTGATCCACAATCCTAAACTTTCCGAATCAACCCAGAACTGTTTTGAAAATCTCTCTGCAGTTGTGAATTTATATTAAATCAAAACTAACAGCTTTTACACACTCGGCTTTAGATTTTTATTTTTTGTGAGAAGATGATTTAATGTACATAAATCACACGGATGTAAAATTATATACTGAAAAAAATCACCCCATTTACATAACACATCAATTTCATCTACATTTTGATATTTTTATCTACTTGTGGTATCTACCTCAATATAAAAAGAGGTGGAATTTCATGCTGGTTTTCCCGCCCAAATGCTCGGATATAAAACGGGTCGGGTGTGCAGCTTCAGATCTTGCGAGATATTATAGCAGGTTACATTTATTGTTTATGTTTAAAGGTTCTGAAAGTTTCTGAAAGTTTGTCGTCTAGACAAATAAACCTCAGGTTCTATTTAAAGGTTGGAAGATCGGGCCAGTCAAATGTAGGGATGCCTCATTTAATGTTGCATTCGGCACTCGCCAGATTCGATGCAAAATAAAGGGGTGCCTCCACAACTCCCATTAGATCTAAAGAAATGAGGACAGGTCTGCGGATCCACAGAGGAAGGGTAAGGAACGGGAGACACCCTCTGTTCTTGATGCCGCCGGAAAGGGAGGATAAACTCGACATCGTCGAAGTAGGGGCGGCCTTTGGTTCCTGCCGTCAGCTCGGAGTATCTTTTCAGGGGTTCCCCGATCTTGCTACTCTTGGTCTCAACCACCTAGACCTGGACGGCGTCTAGGGGTGCGTCGTGCATCGACCTCAACTCCTCTGCCGGCCGCCAGGTTTTTCCGGACCTAGACGAATACCACATGTCTGTAGGTTCGTGAGGCCACAGAATTGCAGGGACCTCTGTTCTTTTCATACGGGATTGGAGTGCAAAAACAAAGGCCTTTGAAAACGGGGTGCAAAGTCCAATTTAAACAATAATATTTTGATGTCATTAATATTATTATATGTGATTATTGTTGTATTTCCATTCATTACCTTTTCAAAAGAGAGGGCGTCATGTGCAAAATTTGTATTTCAATCTTGGGTAGTTCATCGTTATGATTAACAACCTATTAATAATGTAGCAAGACAGGAAGATAATGTCTTGAAGATAATGTCTCAACAATGCCAATCTTTGTAGCATGTTGGACTGTTATTAAAAAGTCGGTGTTTACGCATGGTCAACTTTATGTTTTAGTATCCAAAATAAGAAATCGTAAAGGTTTGAAATTATGATTTGCCCTGAAAATGGCGAGCAAATCGACCATACCACCAATGTTGTTTACACGGAAGTGTTTTGCAATTTGTAAATGCAGAGATCTATTGTAATATTTTCTTATTACTCTATTGCTACTTATTCCAAATCTTACTTACTATCAATGATTTAGTCTTAGTTATTGGTTCCCTAATTAAAACGTATTACTTATATTAGGTCTTATCTATTTCCATACATTTATACATAAATTAATAATATTAACAAATATTGATATATAATTATTCTATTTTTATGTCCCGCGCATCGCGCGGGTGCGAATCTAGTTTACAATAACATTGATACGTAGTGCCACTGCTATGAAAACCAATAGTTTACCCAAAAAATAGTGAAAAATAATGATTAGCCCCACTCAATCTTAACCCAAACCAAAAGTCCACTAATATAACTATTTTTAATTTGAAAAGAAACCAATCAAGAAACAGCACTTTCTGAAATAACATTTTCTTAATTTGAAGTGTGATGTGTTCAAATGTTATCCACGTCCAAATTTCATAAACTCGGCATTAGAATTAAATTTTTTCGTGATTTCAAGTGTGATGTGTTCAAATGTTATCCACATCCAAATTTCATAAACTCGGCATTAGAATTAAATTTTTTCGTGAGTGGAAGAGATATTGTGATAGTTTATTAATAATGTATGTATTAGTAATGGATAACCTTTATAAGAACTGGACAGGTGTAACTAATAGCCAAGCCAATAATGTTCGTTTTATTAATAAAAACATTTCTCTAAATAATGTTTGTATTATTATTACAAACCATTATAAGATCTGCCCGAGTGAAACTAATTGCCTTGGACATGCCAGCAATTCACGGGGGTGATATATGGTACATCTTATGGAAAACCGGTTTATTCGTGCACATTTATTATTTCTACCAAACAAATTTCCGCATTCTTCTTTAATGATTAGCTTCAATTCTTCATTATTAATAAATTTGCAGAAAACGAAAATTTTGAAATTTGGTTGATTTCTAACTATGTATCATACGTTGAACCTGCAGAAATCCGCTTGATCCCTATAAAAATTCAACTTTGAAGACTGCCTTTGAGATCACTGTTTACTTTTTGGGGTCTGTAAATGTTGTAATAATTATATGTAGGATAGATTTAGGGAACGACAAGCACTTCCGGACCAGTCCACAAGTACGCTTCTCTACGCACAGCTTCCCGTGAAGCTATTTCTATAGCTTTACTTGAAACTGTGCTTGTAAGCACAATTTCAGGCTTACAGTATTATTCTTATTCCAAACACAATGCATAAACACAAAGTTTTCTTTAATTATTAGGATTCACAGAATGCATAAACAGAATAAAATTGTAAAGTTTTCACAGATTTACAGAATTAGGTTTACTCTTCATGAATAAGGTTTACATATACAATATCATCATGCCCGTTTTTCAAAAAACCAAAGCTTTACAAATTCACTAAGCACTACATTTAATTTTCACACCGCTATAAAAATATTCGGATTCACATAATGCACACGCCCTTAACGTCTATTGACTTGTATAAAAAGTTTCATGCATAAAAAAGAAAGCATTTATTTTTCTAAACAGAATAAAATGTAAACCTTTCATCGGGTTTGATTGTCCAAGTGGCTCTGATTTGGTTGATCTCACGTAATAAAATGTATATCTATGTTTTTTTGCTAGCTATGAGCTGTGGTGATTGGTGCATTGATGTTGCTCTATTTATAACTGCGGAACAAAGCCCGGCCAGCCTAACACAAAACAGTGCGCACAACTCCTCCAACCAATAGCAATCGTGTGTGGGATGGAGGGAAAACAGTTCTTCCAGTTTTGAATTTTGAACTTAGCCAGCATTTCATCCATAATATCTGTCCCAGAGATCTCTCACGAAAATTAACCCACTTGCACAATAAATGATACTGTTTAGTTTAAAACGTGGCCAATGAAACACAATCTTTGTGGCTGGGAAATCCTGAATAAATCTACAACACTGTTCACCAGCTCATACCCCATAAATTGACCAATGAAAAATCATTTAGGTTATTAGAAAATCTCAAACAAATCCGAACAGCAGTTAGAAAGGCTACTTTCGCACATCTCTCCGGAATTCTCCAGTAATAAACCTCACCAAACCCTCAATCAATGAGCTATTAATCATAAAATACTGGCAGTGACGTTTTTCAGCGGGAAACTCAGCTCCATATTCATTTTTCTTTTAGATTATAATAGATTTCTTTTTACATCACTTGCTCTTTCTCATCATTCTCTTTTCTCAACTCCAAGCTTGTCATATTGAAACTCATTTGTTCATCCAGAGTACATTGTAGCTTATTCAATGCATCAACAACACCCTTTTCTTCATTTACCTTTCGCTTTTTCCTTTACAAGCTTTTCTTCCTTGTGGGCGCACAGCACGGCAACACCTTCGGCATTAATGCCATTAGGGGGAACTTGATCTTCGGGGATACTAGTCGCAAAGTCACCTACAAGTGGTGAATTATTTTTGTCAGGCTTACCTTTAGTGTGGACCCCGTCTTCGTAAGATTTAGTGAGCACCATTTTGAATTCTTAACCAAGATTGTCCAACAGTGAAGAAATTTGAAATGACTTTCATAGAAATCCTTGTATAACTCCAGCGCCTGCCTCAACTACAGAAAAAAGAAAAAGAATAGTTAATCCAAACTTACTTTAAAACTAAATACAATATAGTACTCTTACCAAGTCTTCCGAATTTGTTCCACTTTTTAGATGTCTTTCTAGTTGTTCATATTTTCCGACAAATTTAGCTACTGCACCTCGTATTTGGTGCAAATGGCATTGTATGCTATTATTATTCCTAGATTTCTTGTGCTCGGGCCCCGTTTTCTCCTTCCATACTTCTAATATACGACTCCACATAGCTGGACTTTTTTTATTAGTTCCCACATCAGCATCTGTGGATATATATAACCAAGCTTCTGTTAAAGCAACCTCCTCTTCTGTAGTCCAATCTTTCTTAGATGTTGCATTTTTAGAGAGATTTGGATCTTGAATGTCTTTAGCTCTCTTGTTTAATGCATTCACTCTATCAAAGTTCTGAGTGCCCATAGGGATATTCAACATGTGCTGGAAGGGAAATGTTGGTCTATTATGTTGATCAATGTGGACAGCATATGCTCCAGTAGTTGGATCAAAGTGATACTTAGGCTGCATCATCGGATTGTTCATTGGGTTAAATTGGTTCAAATTCTGGAATTATTGATTCTCATTAGTAAATGGAAAGTTAGCACGATCCTGTGAATCCATGTATATGTAGCCTAATCCTTTCTGTGCATAAAAAGAGAAATTATACTATAGATATAAATAGCACATATGTAGAGAATAAAAAAGATGATGTGAGTATATTGTTAAAAGAACTGAACTTCTCATGTTTTAAAACTAGCAATAGAAGGATAGTTAATCCAAAAATCTAAACCACCGTAAAGAACAGAAGGAACTTTGACCCCAAAATCAAATGATGTGCATGGTGTTATATATGCAGACATACAATCTAGATTACAATAGGTAAGAACACTGTTCTAAAAATCGGCCTAGGCGGACCGATTAATCGGCCTAGGCGGCCTAGGCGGCCCTAACCGTAGAGGCCTAGTCGGCCTAGTCGGCCAAAAAATTGGCCTAGTCGGCCAAAAAATCGGTCTAGTCGGCCGCCTAGGCGCTAGGCGCCCCGCAACCGCCCGACTAGCGCCTAGCGAGTTTTAGAACAATGGGTAAGAATTGCAAGTTCCACTTCAAAATTCAGCCTGCACATATATAGTATTACTTTAATAACTTAGTGCTTAATAGAATGCTCAAGTGTGTGCAGGAGCATTCTCTTCTAAATTCCTTACAAATTAAGTGAACTGAACCAACCAATAAACTACACATACCTAATGGATAGTGACTTACTTGCAAAATTAATCTATAAATCACAATAGCAAAAGGGTCACTAATAAAAGGAGATAAATAATCCAACTTGTCCTGGAATAAAAAATGACTACATAAATAAGAATACTAACTAACTTGACTGTTTACCTTGCCATTTGGAAGGTAACATATAGCAGTCACTATATCATGTATATTAGCCCAGTCAGAAAACTTGATCCCTGTTTGGTAGCATTAGTGTAAAATTCACTAAAATACTTATTTCATCTTTTTATTAAGGAACATTTAGATCAAAAATACTTATTTTATTTTTTTGATGGTCATTCCTTTCACACAGTAACAACAAAACTATAGAGTCAATTACTCAACTATAACAAATGAAAATGTAAGTTTAATAAGGATTTAAAATTTCAAAACGACACGGCAATGAATAGCACAGTAACACAGCTATTGTGGAATAGTTCATCGGTGACACTGCTCTATGATAAAAATCCAAAAGATAAACAACTGAATATTCATATAAAACTCTAATTTCACATCTAGTTTAGCAAAGCTAAGCCAATAAGCTAATAAATTGGCTCACTTAGACATTTTTACAAACACCTTACAAATGAGAATAACACTAAACAAATCAACTCATTCTTTGTACCATTTTATTTGTTAATGGAAGTTGGGAAAAATTCTTGAAAATCTGATTTGGAATTCAGATTATCTTTTTTCTTTTTTGAAAGGTTTAACAGGGAATACGGGCTGCTAAACTGAGCAGCGGAATTCAAAAATTAACATAGCAGCGGAATTCCTTGCTTACCACAACATGTCCATCAAAACCAATGGTCATCATTTTAGTCAATTTGTTGGTATTCTTAAGTTTGATGCTGTAAGTTTCCCATATGTTGTGTAAACTTTCATTGAGTAGGCTTTGGTCTAGCCCTCTTACTCATGTACATTTTCCTAATTTTAATAAATTGATGAGGTGTTTCCTGGCCCTCACCCCAAAAACTCTCGGGTTTTTGGCATAAACCAGGTTCAAAAAAAATATGGACTGCTAGACTGAAGTGTTTCAGTCTCCCCTGGATGTGAGAATTTCAAGCCTCCATTGAGGGAGAGACTCAATTATCTTAAAAACCAATGTTATCCAAAACTCATTTCATAAAACTGATAAATTGCAAACCAATAGAGTGACCATCTTCTCTGAGAAATTAAAAACAGTAATACCTCGTTTTGTGAAGGTCGACGGAGTCAAATTGGAGAGAGAGGGGTAGAGAGCTAGAAGAGTGTCCTGTTGTCCTTCCAGAAGAAGAAGAAGAAGAAGAAGTGCACTGAGACGGGTGATATACAGGGACGGACCCAGGAAATTCATCTTGGGGGTTCAAAACATTTTTCGGGGGGGCGAAAATTATTTTTTTGAGGGCAAAAATTATTTTTGGTATGTATATATATACACACTAATTTTATTTTTGTTGCGGGGGCGGTAACCCCCTTGGGTCTGTACTACGGTCCGCCCCTGGTGATATACGAGAAAATAGAATAAGAGGCTCTGAGTTCCCAAATCAAGAATACTGTAAGAATTGTGGAGATGGCTGAGGCGGTGTTTGTATATGGAGATGGAGATACAACAAGTTATATAGAGCAATGGAGATATATTGGCACCATTTCCCCCCGCACATTCCTCGATCTCCACCCGCCTGTTTCCCCCACGATGAGCCTTAATTCGCTGAGTCAACCAGTTCAACTGGCTTTTCAATTTAAGAAAGTATGCTTCACGATGTCGACAACTATTTTGTACACCTCAGCACGTGAAAGAGCCCATTGAAGCTGGAAAAAAAATACTTTATAATGTTGTGATGTGGCACGTTTTTTTTAAAGCCCAAAGAGGAGCATTGAAGTTGCTCTTACCTGTATCGCTTTAGTTGAGAAACATAATTATCTAAAATAACTGCTACAAATATGGAATTAACTGCTACAATATGGAATATAGTTCTGTGGGATAGACCATGCAAATCCCAAAAAAAAAGAATGACACCTCATACATTTAATCACAAGATGATAGATAGATTGTGAGACTATGGTCCTGGTACTTGCAAAGATTTTATACATTTTTAGCATAATAACCTCTCATCGTAGTTGTCGGGATTCGAACTCGAGACTTATCCCTTGTAACACCCCTATCTACGATCATGCAAATCCAAAAAAAATTATGAGTGGACAGTACAACTACCCCATTGTCTAACATATTTTACACATTTCTGCCTCTTTTTTACCCCGTATCATTAACACAATAATGCATAAGAGGTTTTTTCTGGCCGTCGCGATTTGGAGCAGTTTCCGGTGGAATTTTTTAATGAAATTTGTTGAGCATCTTATTCACCAAGTCTAGTTGACTCATACCAAATTTCAGCTAACAATTCAATCGGGAACACATTCAAATTAATTCAAGAACGCAGCATTGCGCAGTTATCTTCAAGGATTAATTTGAATGTGTTCCCGATTGAATTTTTAGCTGACATTTGGTATGAGTAAACTAGACTTGGTGAATAAGATGCTCAAAAAAAATTATCAAAAAATTCCACCGGGAACTGCCCCAAATCGCGACGGCCAAACAAAACCTCCTATAGAAGGACTTAATTGACTTTTTTTATGAAAGTTCGATGGCATATTTGACAGTTTTAGTGTAAGAACATCGGATTAGTTAAGACATACTTCGTATTTGGTTAAACACTGAAGTTGGCATGTTATCGACTACAGTACATTTTCGTGTCAAAGTTTGCTTCTAATATATAATCCTTATCAAACTATTTAAAAGTAATTATCTTGCAAAGAACCACTACAAAAAAACAACGATATTGGCCTGATTTGACACAAATTCGTCGAGTTTGGCATAGATCATGACATACTTTTTGTACGACGTCGTGCCAAATAGCTGGTGACCAAACAGTATTGGCACATAATATAATTTGGCACGAATTTGACGTATTCGTGTTAAATTCCCTATGAATTTTATTTCATTGCGACAATGGTTACCATTGGTTGCCCCCTGACAATAGTTAACAATGACCTATAAAATTGGTAGGACAAAAAATTGTGAATTACTCCCTCCGTATTTTAAGAGTGAAATAGTAGGGGTAATGAATAGTGTAGAAAAAGTAAGAGAGATGATGGAAAAGTATGAAAGAGAAGATAAAAAGTAGAAAAAGTGAGGGTATTTGAGTAATTTTAAAGGAAAAACTTACCAAAAAGGGAAATTGTAGTAAATTTTTGAATACATCCAAAAAAAGAAAGTGTAGCAAACAAAAAATACAGAGGGAGTACATTGCAATGATATTCAATAGCACTGCCAATTGTTGATAGTGACATATAAAATTGATAGTGACAAAAAAATTGTGAATTACATACTCCCTCTGTCCCAATTTGTTTTGCAAAGTCAACATTTTTCGGTCAACCAATAATAAAAGTCAACTCTCTCTATGGATACTTAATTCAATTTTTAATAATTAAAATTTACATATTCAAAAATTACATTAAAATATCTTCAAAGTTGTAAACTCCAAATTAGAATATAATTAAAAATTCACATCCTAATTAAGTGAACAAAACTAGATTGTTTGACTAAGAAAAGTCAAATTTGCAACTCTTTTTGGGACGGAGGTAGTAATAAACTTACAATGACATTCATATTGTTCCTATTTTATTAGGGGTAATTCTCCAATCAGGGCTGATTTGGTATAGCAGCTTGTCCAATTTGTGTCGACAATCGATCAGAAACAACTTTTAATGATTTTGAATAACCTATGTACATATATATTTGTCTAAAAAGTAAGTATAATACTTCGTATATAAAAGTACTAGTTTTCAAGCCCGTGCGTTGCACGGGCAGTACATAATTCAACCAATTTTAAATGTGATTTTTCCGGAATCATATATAATGTGATGCAAAAGCAAAATAAACTTAAGGGATGTTAACTTTTCGATTTAACTGGAAGCATGATTTTATTGGAAGCATGATTTAACTATTCAATAAAAAAATTGACTTAACCATTAAGATGGAGAATAGTAGTTCTTCCCATTAAGACGGGTATAAGATATATTTTTTTACTGTCAATTTTTTTTAAATTGATTGTGGAATAGATTTATATTAATAAATGAAGTTTTCCATTGACACTATAATCTAAGAACAATACTAAATTGATTATTTTACTCGATTCAGACTGTTATAATAGAAAAAAGTAAACAATCCTTCAATTTAATATAAATCCCATTTGATAACACTAAAATTGATCATATCGACTGATTCTACTGAAATTGATTAAGTTTGGCTGAATGGTATGCATAATTATTTTTTAATTTTAATAGTGGGATGTTACATTTACTCATTATTTCGTCACATTGAAAACGTTTAAAAGTGTAGTTTTTTAAATTTCAACTCTTTTCTCAATTGGATAATTATTAGTTGTCTAAACAAATAGAGAGTAAAAAAAGAAGTTTGAAGAGTTCAGGGATTTTAAACGTATTCCATCTTCCATGCTCAATTCAAATGCTAGATCCACCCATGTAGAGACCACCATAACACATTTTTGGTGAGTGGGATTCTTTCTGCATTATTTCAAATGCCAATGTGTTTTTGTTGATGGTAAATGGTTTAAGTAATAATATGACCTCATTGTGTGTATTCATAATGAAAAATTCTGTATTTTATTAACTGATCATTGTTGTCGTTTGTATTATCGCAGAAAATAAACTATGATTAATACTTTTCTGATATACTTTGGTGTATTTAGTTTTTCAATTTTGAATAATAAAAGTAGATAGAAATATATCTAGTTCCTTGTAGCACATGAGTTCGTACAAATACTGTAATAAAGAATAAACATGTTAATGGTAAAGTATGATATATACATAGTTTTTAATAATATATGAACACTCTAAACAATGGAACTCTCCAAACGAAGGAGAAACTCGATCAATAACTAAAATTTATAAAACTGAATAGTGAAAACATGTTTTAGTTTACATTCAATTCTCTTCCATTTTATATGGGAAAAATAATTAAAACACCTCAAACTTTTAATTTGAAAGGGTGTCAGATGAACATCCCAAACTTGCACATGTAATTTAAATACCTCAAACTTTATACAAAAAGTTATTTTAGCACCATCGTCAAGTATTATTTCTTTCAAAAATGTAAATTTATGGTATTAAATACATAATTTAAAATATTTTAGAAATCGTGATGAAACAATTAACATTCTAAAATTCTATTGCGAAAGAAATAGTGTTACCCCGAATTGATATAATTGCAACACTTTTAATTTGCTATTTTAAATTATGCAACTAACCCCATAAATTTAAATTTTTGAAAGAAATAATACTCGACAATGGTGTTAAAATAACTTTTTATATAAAGTTTGGGGTATTTAAATTACATATGCAAGTTTGGAGGTGTTTACCTCACACCCCTTCAATGTTCGGGATATTTTTATTATTTTTCTCTTTTTATAATAACAAGTATTCAGTTCTATGATCATCAATATGCGAAGTGTAATGGCCTACATATACACCATACGGAATTTTTATGTTTCTAAATTCTGATTCTAGAAACACAAAAAAAACCCTACATGATCGTCAAGTATTATTTCTTTCAAAAATATAAATTTATTGTGTTAACTACATAATTTAAAATATTTTAGAAATCATGAAGACACAATTAACATTCTAAACTTCTATTGTGAAATAAATAGTGTTATCACCAATTGATATAATTGCAACACTTTTAATTTTCTATTTTAAATTATGAAATTAACCCCATAAATTTACATTTTTGAAAGAAATAATACTCGACGATGGTGCTAAAATAACCTTTTATATAAAGTTTGGGGAATTTAAATTACATATGCAAGTTTTGGGGTGTTTACCTCACACCCCTCAATGTTTGGGGTATTTTTATTATTCTTCCCTTTTTATAATAACAAGTGTTCAGTTCTATGATCATCAATATGCGAAGTGTAAGAATATGTGAATTGTAATAGCCTACATATACACTATACATAATTTTTATGTTTTTAAATTCTGATTCTAGAAACACAGAAAAACCTACATGGACGTGTTTTAATGTTGAGCAGTTTTGAATTTAATATTGCAGATCCACTAAAATATGATTCCTTTGCTACAATCATCAATATATAAAGTTTCCTTTCTCATAAATATTTAAACTTAAATATGGTAAAATATAGCCAACATCTCTCTACGTAGGTTTTATGTTTCTAAATGCTGAAATTAGAAAATTAAAATAAAGATTGCATCTCTACGTAGGATTTGATGTTGCTAAAGTTACCAAGTAATGTGGCTTTCTATAAAACAATAAAAGGTTTAGAAATAAATAAATAATTGTTATATATGATGACATGGCTGGACTATGTGGCGCATTGTATGCTCTTAAAAAGTTCCTCTTTTATATATATATATTGATTGGGGTCACTCACGACATATATAAACTATACGTACTTATCGAACATAATTTGCTTTGCAATTTTTGGAGGTGGCCTTCTTGCAATTTTTATAATTATTGAATTGAAACATTACAGCCATTAATTTGCGTCAATCTACGTACATAGTTGCCACATACGGCTTACCTTTTTCTCTGTGACTCATGAAACGCCACCAGCAGAAGAATAGCAATGGATCGAGGGATTGAGATCCTCTACCCGACTAGGAGGGTGCCTTGCGCATCGGACGGAAGGGGAGCGGTCAACACGGTCTCGAGATTGGCAAAAAAGTGGAGCCCAAGATCTCCGACCGTTGAATTGTCAATCGGACGATCGGGAGGAAGCAAGACACTCTACCTAACTCTAAAGTAAGGTAGAGGCTCCGGATCCATGGATCGAGAGTGGCAAGATATGAGCGTAGTGAGCTTACTTCCATGATAAACTACTTCAATTCTTTGACGTGATATGATGTTCTTCACGGTTTTACACATCAAGATGGGTATGTAGGTGGATTGACTCATCAAGTTAATGAAGAGATTCTCGTTTAGAAAATAGGTACTCTCTTCTTTTCGTTGGAAGGTTCTTATTTTCTTTATTTGGGTGTCCCATTTAAAGGTTCTTATTTCTTTTTAGAAATTAATTTACTCTTTTTAATGACATCTTTACATCTCCCTTTAATTACTTTCATTTTATATGTTTCATTTTTTTAAATTTCTCTTTCTCATCTTTTCTACCCAAATTACTTTATTTAACCATTTTCCTAAAAAAACTTGTCATTTACCCACGGGAATCTTTTAAACGGAGGGAGTATCTCGTATTCAATTCATGATTGGAAATATTTTGCACAAAGTTCAAATTACATTATTGTTCCGCGCTATTCAAAGTTCTTCAAAGCTACCCTCCGATGCTACTTTGGTATCCAAAGAGGGAAGAAACTTATGGTAAATGATCATTGATCATAGCTTGAAGGTGTACCTCCAGAATGAAGTAATCCAACAAAGATCGCTCAAAAGCTCATATTACATGATGTTAATTGAAGGAAATTAGGATAGTACGAAGCTAGGGGGAAATTGGGAAATTCCAAACAGTACAAAGCTACAGTGGAGTAGTTGTGACCTGATAGTACGAAGTTACCCCTGGCTGCAGAGACTACATACCCATCCCATCTTTGAATGAATGCGTGAAAATTGGCGGATAGAGATTGCATCATTGTCATCATCAATATCATAATCTACGAAACCCGACAAAATATAATCACTACCAATAAAGCCTACTGTTACCTTCCATTAATTGGCATAAAAACATCTCTTCATCATTTCCCCCTGCTAACCTTTTCCCATCCCTAGCCCTCTGCCCCATCTTAATGGTATGGTTCATGGGCTTTAAGACTTCAGCCATGGAGTCTACAGAATATTAGCACAGCTTTTGCAGCCCCATTTTTCCCCAGTAATGCTTTTTACCTCTTCATGGCTCATTCCCTTCTGATTTAAGAGGTAAAGCTTGTATCTTTAGTTATTGTTTGGACTTCTGAGCTTTTCGCTTTAAAGAATTTCCAAAAAAGACTCATTTTGGATTTTATGCTATATTTTGCATCAATCTTGATAGGAAAGAAGAAGGATTGAGATTTAGTAAAGGAAAGAAAGCAGCAGAAGCTCCAGAAAAGGTTTCATGGCGGCAGGGACTACAGATATGTCTTCTTCTCCGACCCGGAACCCGGCAAAGCCCATTTCATCATTCTTGGGTTCTCCGACCCGAATCCTGAACGGATTTCTGGGTCGGACAACTTCCCAATTGGATCACAGCATGAGCATGAGCCCCACCTCAACCCTTGACGCCAAACAATTCCTCAATCTTGGTCACCATCTCGGGTACGAGAAAAGCCCAAACCTGACCCAAAAATCTAGCCCGACCCGAAACCCAAACCCAAACCCAGTTTGCACCGAAAAGAGACCCGACTCGTTAGGAGTGAGCCTCGCTCTCATTGAGGACTCGCGCCGAGATAAGGTCCTGTTTGGGTCAAAACTTAAGATTCAAATCCCCACTCTGGTTTCTCCGGTGGAGTCGCCGGTGGGGTCTCCGGGGGATTTCGGAATCAAGACTCCCCGGAATCTGCCGCCATTGTTGAGCTCTGTCGTTCAGGCCGGAGAATGCCCTTCTTCTCCCGAGGGGCTATCACTGAGTGAAATGGAACTGTCAGAGGATTACACGTGTGTGATTACCCATGGACCCAATCCAAAAACAACTCACATCTTTGGCAATTGCGTTGTTGAAGAAAGCTGCTGCGAAGTGATGAAGGCGAACTGTTCTTCGCTATCGAGTTGCCAGAACTGTAGCATCATCAGTCATGAAGATGAGCACGGTATCTACAGGTAATTTTAGTTTTTGTTTAAATAAGATTCAAGAAAAAAATGTATGGAAGTCGAAAGAGTTTGGATTTTTTTGTGGCCAACTTTTTTCACCAAACACGTAAATTTTGCTTTAGTGTGAATTTGTTTAATGAGCCGAAAAACTAAGGTTGAAGTTACTTTTCTAGCTCTATTGTATAAAGTTATGTAGATGCGTATTTTGGCTATTTTTATATATAATTTTTTCTATATTTTATTAATAAAATAATTTAAAAATATTTTTTTTAAATCAGCATAATCAGCCACTTCAGTCAGAAATTCAAAATTTCAGCAGAATCAGTCAAATTATTTGATTTTCTTGATACCAAACAGACTCATAATTGAAATGTGAAAAACAAAATCTATTTCTTCTAAATATCTATTTTTATCCTTTTATATTTTTAGATATGCCATACTAAAACTATATACAAAATCAAAAAAATGCTAAAAGAAATTATACTGTGTACGTAGTATAATTTTATAAAAAAAAATAGAGTTATAACCATTGCAAAATTAAAATGAATTGACCTGTCACATGGCAGCACTACCATAAAATTGAACAAAATTGATCTTCTACTTAAGAGTAGCTAGGTGTCATCCTTTGCTTAAATGTGATTACCAAACGCTTGTCTTTTTGGTGCGAATCATTAGTGTCGATGATCTATCCAAAAGTGACCACCCCTTTCATACTATTTGCAATAATGGGAGGCATTGATGGGGGACCTGTGTAGGCCTAATAACGTAATAATGATAATCAAGAATAGTAACTCATAAAGTTTGGATTTTATGGGGAAAAAAGAAAGCACGAGGACTCTACCCCATCACTAGGTGGACTTACGAAATATTTCGTATAAATTACAGAAAGAAATTGCTCTAAATGACACTAGAACTTAGACATAATGCATAAATAGGATTATGTGTATTTCATTTTCAAAATAGGATTTACTTAATCCTATTAAAAGTATAAAAATTTTCCTACTAAAAGTGAATAAATACTATTTTAGTTCTATGTGATTGTTTATGTTTTAGTCTGTATAAGGAATTCTCTCATTAAAAAATATTCATTCAATGTAGGATACATGATTGTCTTTAGAATAGAAAGATAAAAATTCACTAAATTTTTTTTATGTTCAACTTCGATATAGATAATTTCTCAATTTTTTTCTACAAATTGCATTTTTGCACACACACGTAATATAAGTTGCCCTTCTTTTTATACATATTTGTACATATATATCTTAAACTAAAGCTAATCAAACGATATTAATAATATGATTTGCTATTTGTTAAATATGTGACCTAGTTCTAGTGTAAGCTTGCTCTCACTCACTTAATTTTCTAGATACGTCACACTCAGTTTTCAAAGAGGTGGGGGGAGAACATGATTACTTGTTCACAACCAGTTAAAAAGGCGATTTAGGTGTTTTTTTAACTACGTAAACTTAATTGGGTATTTTACAAGTACGAGGGTCTACGATAAGAAAAAGTACGGAGTATAATGGTCTATTTGATTGTTTTCTCTTAAATTTGTATGTAATATTAATTACTCCCATATCCACCGAATCTCATTTATTATATTCAAATTTCCAATCATAAGTTTTACTTCTTCAATTATTTTTATACGTTATTAATAATTTTACCAAATCAAAGTAAGACTCATAAATTTGACAGAGGTAGCATATATAGGTGTTTGGAACTCCTTCTGCTTCCGCTTTTTTTTTTAAAGCAGAAGTAGAATCAGAATCAGTTTTCAGAAGCTGGTACCCCCCCAACTTCTAAAAAAACTGATTCTGGGAGAAAATTAGAGCACCAGAAGTGCTTCTGGAATTTTACTCAAACACTCCAGCTTCTGCTTCTGCTCCCTGAAGGAGCAGAATCAGTTTTGAGAATCAGATCCAAACACCCCCATAGTAAAAGTTAAGGAGCATACTTCTATGTTTTATCTTACTCCTTTTTAAAAATCGAAATGTTTTAATGTTTTAAATCATAAATGTTCTATCTCTTTAGGTCTCATCAACTTTCCTTTTATGTTTGTTCTAAAAAAAACTTGAAACGTTTTGAAATAGTAAGTACGAGTACCTATATTAATTTATTTCTCTCATTTGCACAAACATAAATCACATAGAATTTATTTGTTATTATTTAAACTCAAAACAAAATAAACAATGTTAAATAACACAATTCAAAACAATGTTGACGATGTTCAATAGAACGGAAATAATATCTATAATAATATAAAGTAACAAGGTGTGGCACCTTGCTTTTCCCTCCAATTAGACATTTAATGCTTCATACTCATTAAAAAATCTATAATATAATAATATAAAGTAACAAGGTGTAGCACCTTGCTTTTCCCTCCAATTAGACATTTCATGCTTCATACCCATTAAAAATAAGAGTTACGTGAATATTGGAGTAATTGGAATATTTTCAATTCAAAATAATCTATAATGATGATGATAATAGATAATAATAATTATTTTTATTATAATATAATAATAGTGATACATAATTGGCGGGACTTCACTTAACGCAAAGAAAAAAATCAGAAGATTACAATGTTTTGATTTAAATGTTTTCAATTATAAGCTAGACCACACCAGATTAAAAGAAACTACACCAAATCAGATCAAATTTAAATACAATAGACTTGATCATATCAGAATAAGTTAGTAAAATATACATACATCCAACACTTACCAGACCAGACCAGTTTAGGTCATCAGACCAAACTTAAGCGGACCCGATCATAAAACTTTAGTCTAATTAAAAACATTATTGTTATTGTCTTGCAGTACAGTAATAGTTATATTATTAATAACAATAGTCTTCTATAATAATATAAAATAACAAGTTGTAGCATGCGTTTCCATATTTAATGATTTCATACTCATTTTCTCTAAACAATAATGTGTAAATTAATAGTTAGCAATTAGTAATTATAATGTGAAAATTTTGATTTTTAAAATTATACTATCAATTAATGTTTTTGCTTATTGGATGTTTACAAAAGATTGATCAGTAACATTTTTAGCATCCTCAATTTCATGAATCCTTTGTTATTACTCCCTCCGTTCCGCTAAGATTGTCCCATTTTTCCTTTTCAGAGAGTCCCACTGAGATTGTCTCATACCAAATTTGGTAAAGTTTGTGTGGCTCTAAATCATTCTTACTTTATCAATTCAATATCAATCACATAAACTCACTTTTCTTAATAACCGTGTCACCTCCTCATGTCCCAATGTTAGTGGGACGGAGGTAGTATATTTTATAAACACAAATACGTAACAAAATATTTATATAGCTAATGAAAAGTATTTTTATTATTACGAAGTGATCCCAACTTTATCCAACTTTGTGCTCTGAAAAATTCATTCCAAAATTTTAACATATGTAAATCCATTTTAGTTAAACTATTCATTAGATTTTCACTGTCATCTAATGACATGATTAAACATATAACATAAGCATCCCGTGCAACGCACGGGTAAAGAATCTAGTTAAAGTTATTATGATAGGGGTAGTTTTATGGAGCCATATGTGACTCTCTTATGGAGCCATATGTGACTCTCTTATGGAACCACATACGATATATTAGTGGGGCATCCACTAGAATATTGTGTGGTGAGGATGATGTCACAATACCCTGTGTGACTCTATAAGAGAATCACCATATGGCTCCATAATTTTTTTTATTATGATAGAGTGTGGTCCCTTTTGTATGAATGGTCGATGTTGAAAAAGTGCCAGAAAAAGTGTCACATTTGTATGACTAATCAGACTTATCTTATCTTATCTTAGATTTATGCAATGTTGGAAAAAGTATATTGCAACTTCTTGATTTATGCAATGTTGGAAAAGGTTGCGCAGATTTTAAGCATTCTAAGATGATATTCAAGAATATTTAAGTATGACTAATCAGACTTGGTTTATCTTATCTTAGATTTAAATAAATCATAAACAATAAGTAGTTGAGTTTTTTCTTAAAATAGTGTTAATAAAAATAGTGTTAAGATAGTCAGGGTTTGACTTCTCTAGGATTAAGGAAATAAATTGACTTTGCTGTAGAAAACACTATTTAGACACTATTTGACATTGTTTGACACTGTTTACAAGTAGATTTCTTTGCTAAATAAGGAAATAAGGGAAGTGTGACTTTGTTTTTGAAACATCCAAAAAAGGAAAGTGTGACTTTGATGCGAAAGGGAGGGAGTAGACAAAAATGTGACTATAAGTTATTATGTACTCCCTTCGTCCCCCTTTGTTTGTCCCGTTTTACTTTTTTCGTCCGTCCCATTAAGTTTGTCTCATATCATATGAGGTAATGTTTGAGTGGCTAGAATTCATTATTACTTTATTCACACTTTATCAATTCAATCACACCACACCCTTTTGTCCCAAACTCAGGGGGACGGAGGTAGTATAAGTTTTATTATCTTGTCACTATGATGTATAATTTGAATACATTTGTAGTTACTAAAGCTACCAATGTCAAATCTTTGTCCAATATTTTTATTTTGGTTATATATTTGGAACTATTTCTAAATATTGTCTTAGAGACTGTTTAGTAACACTGAAATCAGTTGATTCTACTGAAATTTACGACGTTTTGATTGAAGTGACTATATTGGCAAATTCTGTTGATTTATGAAAATATTATACTCCGTATTTAAAATATATTTTATTAATAAAAAAACAATTATGTATGAAAAATTAGCAAAAATGGTTATTTACACTAACTCTAGCCAATACAGTCTGAAAGGTAATTTCAACCATACTTTTTCTTACTATTACACAATTCAGTACGCAAAATAAAAAATTACGTGTTTGGTTAAAAAACTGATGAGTATGATAAGCTGATAACTAGGTCAGATTTTAAAACAATGGTTTTATATTTAAAAAATTATTGATGCTTGCATATGTCTACTAAACTCATAATTTTGAATAAAATAACTCAATAATCTCAACTCGAACTCATGCTCAAGTCTAGTCAACAAGTAAATCTATATAATTTTGGAGTCTGTGAAATTTGACTCGAACTTCATACTTTCTGTATCAATTAACAAATAAAATCAGATAATGTAACAGCGTGAACGCGTGAAGCATAAAATTAGTTTCAAGCATTTCTCCACAGTCAAGTTGTGAAGACTATGAACCCGTTTGATGACCTTTTTTCGGCTTGTTAGGTTTATCAGCTCTCTTTTTCACCAAACATGTAACTTTTGATTTCGCGCGTTGAAGTTTGTAATAATCAGAAAAAGTAAGGTTTGAGTTACTTTTCAGACTATAGTGGCTGAAGTTAGTGTAGAGGATCATTTTAGTTGTTTTTCATGTAATTTTTTATTTAATTTACTAATAACAAATATTTTAAATATAATTTTTTCATGAAACAGCAGAATCAGCTAATACAGCCACTTCAGCCAGAACTTCATAAGTTTCAGCAGAATCAGCCAATTCAGCTAATTTTAATGTTACCAAACAGGCTCTATATTTATAGTGATCTTTGTTTAATGATAATTTGGATTTTCGGTAAAAGGGTTGGGTTCAGCTCCTCTCCATTTCTTTCTCTTCATTTCCCCTCCATTTCTTTTTTACTTCCTATCTATCTCTACCTTTCTCCTCTCTATCTCTGGAACTCTCCAGTCACCAGAGAGGATCCAAATTCAAAAGCGTTTAGCTAAATGATAGTCAAGCTTGTTTGACGTCGTCTGATAGATATCTGGTCCTTATGATTCTTAACAAAGCACGAAACTTTATCTAGCCTGTTCTGATTTGATCATATTTAATTTAGAAATGATATAAGTCCAAATAAAAACATTATTTTGAGATTTAAATCCTTACAACTATATCAAACAGCGTTGCATGAGGTTGATATGCCATACCTATCAAGTATGCCAACTAATCTTGTTAATCAAGATGATCAAAATATAATTTGATTTCTTCTGGATAAGTTTGAAGAGCAGCAATGATGCCAGGTGTCGTTTGAGGGCGGGCCCACATGTGTATTTTCTTTTTTGTTGTCTTTTTCACTGGTACCTAAACCCCCTTGCTATCCGTCCACCCACCCACTCGAAAAAGACTGGTTGACCGTTGACGTATAGTCTCTACGTTGATAAGTTTGAGTGTTTGAAAATGCGGAAAACACACATGCTATGTATATGTTATCAATTTGATAAGTGATAACTACATAGTTTGTGGTTAGAAACAGGGCCGTATTTACTTGGTTTAGTGCCACAAAAAAACTAAAACTACATTTTCATGTTCGTAATCTTTTACACCATAAATTATACGGAGTACTATCGTACTTTGTATAATTATACAGTAGTTAGATTAAAAATAATAAAAAGTACCTGCACACAAATACAGAAATTTATACTTGTATGAAAAATCATATAAAACCTTCACCTTTTTACAAAATTTCATCTTTGTCTTGTGTTCTCGCTTAGTGTGACTTTTTAAGTAGTTTAGGAGTTTGATAATTTCTAGAATCTTAAATTATTTATAAGGTAATAACTCATACTCGTAATGAGCTACACCAAAGTCTAGGCCCTGTGAAACATAGAAAATTGAGATTATTTTTGTTAAGAAAATAGTACTCCGTACTACCTCCGTCCCATAATGATTGTCTCATTTCTATTTGGCACGGTTATTAATAAAGTTATTGAAAAGTAAAATTTGTGGTTGAGAATTGAGTAGAATGAAGTGAAATAATATGGACCACAAATTTTTTACCAAAGAAGGAAACATGACATCCATTTCGGGACAACTCAAAAAGAAAAGTAAGACAACCAAAATGGGACGGAGGGAGTATGTGATGTCTTGGAAAGGCATTTTCATAGATAAAAGAAACCATTCTAGATTTAACAAATAATAGCACATTCCAAAGCAATTTTGTTTGGGAAAGTAAGACAACCAAAATGAGACGAAAGGAGTATGTGATGTCTTGGAAAGTCATTTTCATAGATAAAAGAAACCATTCTAGATTTAACAAATAATAGCACATTCCAAAGCAATTTTGTTTGGGAAAGTAAGACAACCAAAATGAGACGAAAGGAGTATGTGATGTCTTGGAAAGGCATTTTCATAGATAAAAGAAACCATTCTAGATTTAACAAATAATAGCACATTCCAAAGCAATTTTGTTTGGGATCAACCTAAATGTCTGACTTATAAGTAGGAGGGGGCATTTTCATTTACAAGTTTAATCGCTTTGCAGCGGCCAGTCCTCAGCATAGAAACTGGATTGATGAAATGAAGACAAAGAGGATGATGGCATTGGAGAGGAATCAGAGTTTCTGATACAATAATATCAATAGTGTGCCATTTGTTGATATAATATTATGAACAAAAGGAATGTACTATCTTTAAAGGTGGGGTTCTCTTTCAGCTTTTCTAGCTAAGACTGGACTTTGAGTCATAATCATCATCGTCGTTGTTGTTATTATTATTATTATTTATTTTTGTATCCTTGAGTGGTCTTACTAAATCCTGGAGGACGAACACTTCCAGTCCTTCCGAAGTGTATCAAACTGAATCGCGAGATTGGTATGATCAGCTGAGAGATGACATGAAGTTGATCAACAAATCTGCGGCATGGTAGATGAGGCCTGCAATTTTTTTTTTTGACTTTCAACCTCCCATGTACTTCGTATGTGTATTGGTAATGGATAAAGGAGAGGAGGTGTAGATATCAAATTGTTTAATAAAACTAAACAATTTAGCGTTTTGCTTCATTGTGTGGCTTATATTTTAGTACTCTCTCCACACCGGGCACACCCTATGTTCCACTCATTTTTTCATTACATTTTTTCAATTAAAAGTTTTTACTTTACATTATAATTAAGAATTATGAAAGTGAAAAGTGTAAGGTCAAAAGTTATTTATTTAATCGTATAAGCATTCAACTCCAAGTCTCCAACAAACCATGGGTTAGATCTTTTTGAATAGACTTAAATTATTTAGTCTAATTTGATAGATGTTTGTTGTATGTTCGTTTTCAATATCGTCTAGTTTGATATATTCCGATGAGTCTAGTTGGACTTGCCATTGAAACCAATCAAATGGGCGGCCAGGACACTGGATCGGGCTGGGCCGGTACAAATAATATTTTTGGAAAAATTTTACACAAAATTTTTTACACTAAAAATATAGGCATTTTTAAAATTTCGGTTGGGCGAGGGCCAGGGGTGGCCACCCCCTAGCTAGTAGCTACGCCCCTGAAATCAGGGGAGTCCCTGTATGTTCAAAGGTTTAGGGACGAAAAATTAAAATGGGCCTAATGTTTCAAAAACTTGTAAAACTCTTTTCTATCTAAATTGACATGCATAATAATAATAATACTACAAGACATTTATAAAAATTTGTAAAACCATGTGTTGAGTTTAATCCAACACGATATAGTAAATATATGTATGAACACTCAGTTTTTACGTGGAAACCCGAAAGGGAGAAAACCACGGGACTTTTTAGGCTAATGTCCAAGCCCTCTCAATTCTCATTAGGACTCTCCTCACCATTACATTGTACAAGCTCCCATTCATGGGGTATTTGAGCTAAGTCTAAAAGAAAGGAGGAAGAAGAGCTAAAAAGGGGTCCCTAATATGGAGGGAAACTCCCATATTTATAGAGAATAGGGGAAGGGGATGCTCTCCACCCTAATGGGCCGCATGGGCCGGAGTGGGCCCAAATGGCTAAAGTGGGCCGGATGGGCCGAAATGGGCCTAGCTGCTCGGGCTCCGTACTACGTAAAGCCTTGGACTCCTGAACAGTAATAGGCCGGGATAATATATCCCAACACAAGTCCCCCAGTTTCTTGAGTAGTGAGCTCGCGAATCTGCTCGAGAAAATATACTCTGCCTGCGCTCTTCCTCTGTCTTGCTGGAAACTGTGTCTTCACATAATCATAATATATGAGTGAGTGTCTGCACTCCTGAACGTAATCTGCCGGTGAGGCACCCCCCTTCTCAACAGGGTCGGGCGAAGGGTGCTCCTCCACGGGAACACTCCCCCTGAATGCGTCAGGCGGGAGTAAGGACTCTGACTCGAGCTTTCCAATCGGAGAAGCTTAGAGGTCCATGCATCTATAAACCGACGTCGCGGTACTGTCAAAACACGATGCTCATGTGTATGTATGAATGTATGAGGTATGATGCATGAATGCATGAATGCATGTAATGTATGGGTGCAATGTATGGGAGAAGGAATGTGAAATGTGATGGAAAGCGGTGGCTCTCATCGATTACCTGGGCATGTCAGCGCCGAGAGGCAGACGTGCTGCATAAGAGATGTTCGTCGCCATCCTGGACGGGATGGGCGAGCCGAACATGAGACAGACACGATGGCACAGAGGCGCCGATCGTGCTGCATAAGAGATGTTCGTCGCCATCCTGGAAGGGATGGGCGAGCCGAACATGAGCCAGACACGATGGCACAGAGGCGCTGATCGTGCTGCATAAGACGTTCGTCGCCACCCTGGAAGGAATGGGCGATCCGAACGTGAGCTGGGTACGATGGCGCTGAGGGGCCGATCGTACTGCATAAGACGGTCGTCGCCATCCTGGAGGGAATGGGCGATCCGAACCGTGAATCAGGACACGATGGCGCTGAGGGGCCGATCGTGATGCATAAGACGTTCGTCGCCACCCTGGAAGGGATGGGCGAGCCGAACGTGAGACAGACACGATGGCACAGAGGCGCTGATCGTGCTGCATAAGAGATGTTCGTCGCCATCCTGGAAGGGATGGGCGAGCCGAACATGAGCCAGACACGATGGCACAGAGGCGCTGATCGTGCTGCATAAGACGTTCGTCGCCACCCTGGAAGGAATGGGCGATCCGAACGTGAGCTGGGTACGATGGCGCTGAGGGGCCGATCGTACTGCATAAGACGGTCGTCGCCATCCTGGAGGGAATGGGCGATCCGAACCGTGAATCAGGACACGATGGCGCTGAGGGGCCGATCGTGATGCATAAGACGTTCGTCGCCACCCTGGAAGGGATGGACGAGCTGAACGTGAATCAGGACACGATGGCGCTGAGGGGCTGATCGTGATGCATAAGACGGTCGTCGCCATCCTGGAGGGAATGGGCGATCCGAACCGTGAATTAGGACACGATGGCGCTGAGGGGCCGATCGTGATGCATAAGACGTTCGTCGCCACTCTGGAAGGGATGGACGAGCTGAACGTGAGCTGGGTATGATGGCGCTGAGGGGCCGATCGTACTGCATAAGACGGTCGTCGCCATCCTGGAGGGAATGGGCGATCCGAACCGTGAATCAGGACACGATGGCGCTGAGGGGCCGATCGTGATGCATAAGACGGTCGTCGCCATCCTGGAGGGAATGGGCGATCCGAACCGTGAATCAGGACACGATGGCGCTGAGGGGCCGATCGTGATGCATAAGACGTTCGTCGCCACCCTGGAAGGGATGGACGAGCCGAACATGAGCTGGGTATGATGGCGCTGAGGGGCCGATCGTACTGCATAAGACGGTCGTCGCCATCCTGGAGGGAATGGGCGATCCGAACCGTGAATCAGGACACGATGGCGCTGAGGGGCCGATCGTGATGCATAAGACGTTCGTCGCCACCCTGGAAGGGATGGACGATCCGAACGTGAGCTGGGTACGATGGCGCTGAGGGGTCGATCGTACTGCATAAGACGGTCGTCGCCATCCTGGAGGGAAATGGGCGATCCGAACCGTGAATCAGGACACGATGGCGCTGAGGGGCCGATCGTGATGCATAAGACGTTCGTCGCCACCCTGGAAGGGATGGACGAGCCGAACGTGAGCTGGGTACGATGGCGCTGAGGGGCCGATCGTACTGCATAAGACGGTCGTCGCCATCCTGGAGGGAAATGGGCGATCCGAACCGTGAATCTGGACACGATGGCGCTGAGGGGCCGATCGTGATGCATAAGACGTTCGTCGCCATCCTGGAAGGGATGGACGATCCGAACGTGAGCTGGGTACGATGGCGCTGAGGGGCCGATCGTACTGCATAAGACGGTCGTCGCCATCCTGGAGGGAAATGGGCGATCCGAACCGTGAATCAGGACACGATGGCGCTGAGGGGCCGATCGTGATGCATAAGACGTTCGTCGCCACCCTGGAAGGGATGGACGAGCCGAACGTGAGCTGGGTACGATGGCGCTGAGGGGCCGATCGTACTGCATAAGACGGTCGTCGCCATCCTGGAGGGAAATGGGCGATCCGAACCGTGAATCTGGACACGATGGCGCTGAGGGGCCGATCGTGATGCATAAGACGTTCGTCGCCACCCTGGAAGGGATGGACGAGCCGAACGTGAGCTGGGTACGATGGCGCTGAGGGGCCGATCGTACTGCATAAGACGGTCGTCGCCATCCTGGAGGGAAATGGGCGATCCGAACCGTGAATCAGGACACGATGGCGCTGAGGGGCCGATCGTGATGCATAAAAATAGTGATGATCATCTCATGGCCCTCGGCCTCTCGCGGCCCTCGGCCGTGCTGGTGATGTGAGAAGCCGATCGTCTGCCAGGACTCCATCCGGGAAGGAATGGTGAGCCTGAAATAAATCCGGGCGATGTCCCTCCTACCTGATCTGGGGAGCTAATCGTCGTTCGTCTACCGTATCCGTGGTCCTATGTACGGACCGCTAAGCGGTGTACACTCGGTACGCAACAGACTCCGGTGGAGAACTGGTCCTGCGTGTCTGACCCATGGGGCTGGTCTTCGTTCGTCTACCGTATCCGTGGTCCTATGTACGGACCGCTAAGCGGTGTACACTCGGCACGCAACAGACTCCGGTAAAGAACTGGTTCTTCGTTCTTCCCAAGTCTCGTGAGTACTGGTCTCCTGGTTTCGCAGGAGACGTTCGTCATCCCAACTATGAGAAGAAACAGGTTTATCCACGTCGGGATTCCCTATTCTTCATTCGTCCCTGTCGTGGTCCTACTAATCTTCTTACTTCGAAGAAGACGTTCGGTCATCCAACGATCGCAAGGAGGAACAGGTTTATCCACGTCGGGATTCCCTATTCTTCGTTCGTCCCTGTCGTGGTCCTACTAACCTTCTTACTTCGAAGAAGACGTTCGGTCATCCAACGATCGCAAGGAGGAACAGGTTTATCCACGTCGGGATTCCCTATTCTTCGTTCGTCCCTGTCGTGGTCCTACTAATCTTCTTACTTCGAAGAAGACGTTCGGTCATCCAACGATCGCAAGGAGGAACCGGTTTATCCACGTCGGGATTCCCTGCTTCGTCGCCCCATGCTCGTGGCCCTACTAGCCTTCTGCTCTGGCAGAAGGTGTTCGTCGAACCACGGGTCATGGGAGGAACTGGTTTATCTTGCCGAGGTTCCCTTTGGTACGTCTAGCCCCCCCCCCCCCCACGTTCCTACTAGCCTCCGCGTCGGGAGACGTTCGTCATACGCGGCGAAGGAAGATCAGGCATACCTCGTCAAGACTCCCTCTCTCATAGGATCTCGTCTCCCCTTCTCCCCATCTTTTTTTTTTCTTTTTTTTTTTTCTTTTTTTTTCTTTTTTTTTTTTCTTTTTTTTTTTTTTTGAGGGAGGAAAATACGTTCATCGGTTCTAAGAATGACCACAAGTGATGTCACACATAATGGTGGTGGGATACAAAAACGAATAAAATGACGAGGCGATGGAATAGCTGGTCGTCATGCGAGGCGATGGTCACCCTCCTGGAGGGGAGTCGTGAGCCCGATCGCTAACTCAAGAAAGTCGGCATTGGGAGCCGATAAACAATGATCATAATGTCGCTGAGCAGTCGGTCCTGATAAGGAGATGACAATAGTGTCCGATCAAGCCGATATATCCAAGCAACGGCTCTCATCCACGCAGCGCGGGGATGAAACCGGTCTTCAAAAGATAAATATGTCGTGCCGAGAGGCCGAACATAACATGATAGTGTCGGCAGCAAGAGGCCGACCTGAAAGAATCAAGCAATGGTCCTCGTCCGCGAGGGGCGGGGACAAGGCCGGTCTTCAAAAGATAAACACGCCGTGTCGGGAGGCCGGTCGTGGTATGATGATGTCGGCGATGAGAGGCCGAACATGATGTGACAGTGTCGGCAATGAGGGGCCGACCTGAAAGAATCAAGCAACGGCCCTCATCCGCGTGGAGCGGGGATGAGTCCGGTCTTCAAATATGGAAAGAACGCCGAGCCGGGAGGCCGGTCGTGATATGATGATGTCGGCGATGAGAGGCTGAACATGATGTGACAGTGTCGGCAATGAGGGGCCGACCTGAAAGAATCAAGCAACGGCCCTCATCCGCGTGGAGCGGGGATGAGTCCGGTCTTCAAATATGGAAAGAACGCCGAGCCGGGAGGCCGGTCGTGATATAACGGTGTCGGCAATGAGAGGCCGATATGAGAACACAAGCAACGGTCCTCATCCGTGCAGTGCGGGGACGAGGCCGGTCTTCAAATAAGATAATCACACCGTGCCGAGAGGCCGGTCGTGATATAATGGTGTCGGCGCTGAGGGGCCGACAGAGAGAATCAAGCAACGGCTCTCATCCGCGAGGAGCGGTGACGTGCACTTGTCGTGAGGTGCACTCAAAATAAATACAATACGACACTAATACGTAGTATAGTGTAGTAAGGTTCGTATCCACAAGGAAAGGAATACTTTTCTTCTTACAGAAATAAATAAGTAACAATAAGGGGGGTTTATATTTGGTTGATGAACTTTAAATTATATTTAAATATGAAGATGAACGAGTTATGTGGTTTAATTAATGAGAAGAAGACTTGGCTTTGCTTTTATCCACTTAATGAAATGTTCGTCGATCCCGGTTATATCTTTAACTATCTTCCTCTCGAATACTCAATCGAGGAGTATATCCAATTCATCGAGGGTAGTTATTAATAACGAGACGCGTTCATTAATAAAACTTACTACCGAGTTAATATAGAACACGCGCCGTATATTCACTCGATAGTAGCAATAAAATCAAGATGAAAACGGTTGAGATTGATAACCTCAACACAAGCGGTTTATTGGTTTAATCAATATAATTAATTCCCCTTGGTTTATTAACCATGAAACGCATGCATTAATAACCCAAGTTTACTACCGCGAAAGGACCGAATTAATAACAAGCGTATTAATCGACCGATTCTAGTAATAATTAATATATGAAACAAAACTAGTTGATCCTTTAAGTAATGTTCAAAATATTAATATGAAATATGAATAGGAATTAATTAATACTCAAGGAAGAATATTAAAGAAGATGAATCCTACTATAGTTAATATCAAGATGTTAACTAATTGTCATCTTAGTAACACTCCCCGATATTAACGTAGAGGAAGAAATAACTATTACTATAACTAATGTCAAGATGTTAACTAATTGTCATCTTAGTAACACTCCCCAACATTGATATAGAAATAGTATTTAAAGAAAGAATTAATATTCAAGGAAGAAGATTAAAGATAATAACTCACAACTTACAAATTCATTAAGCTTCAAAGTAGCAAAACCAAGATGGAAGAGTTTAGCTCCTCATTTGGAGACTAAACATGATGAAAAATATAAAGAAAGAACTTGTCTAAACTGAGCTAAGAAGTATATGTGAATTGGTGCTTTTATGGGAAGGAAATGGGGTGTATTTATAGGCTTTTGGGAGCTGCAGGGCTGTGTACCCGATCGGGTATATAGGATACCCGATCGGGTATCTTAGGAAATTGCCCAGAAACTGAAAAATAGGGTCATACCCGATCGGGTTTGTCGGTCACCCGATCGGGTATGACAATCGAACATGGCCAAAATCTTTCCCGCATGTTGCTCGGTTCCCGGGTTGATCCGATTTGATTTTTTAGAAGGGTACCCGATCGGGTATAGGTCATACCCGACCGGGTACAGACCAAAAACGAAATCTCCACTTTTTGTCTTGCATTTTTGCACTTTCCTTCCACTTGTGGTGTTCACCAATGGTCCCCAAAGTGTTCTTGGACCTGTTTGAGCTCAGAATAAACCTAATCTAAACATATTACAAATATTTTACAAACTAAACTATTACACCAAAAGTGTGTAATTTCCGAAGTAACATTCACTCTAAACTAATTAAAAACACAAATTTACACATGGAAATTACATGAATGTCAACTCCCCCACACTTAGCTTCTTTACTCGTCCTCGAGTAAAGTCAAATGTTTAACAGTTCCAAGTCCTCAAGAGTTCAACAATCAACAAGAAAAAGCAAAAGACCACCAAGGATAAAACATGAGTTTTACATTGAATGTTTAGCTCAACGAACAATATCTTCTTGGGTTTTATGGCCTTCTATGCTCATCTCTTTTCTTCTCCTCTTTTCATGTTCAAGAGATTAAATGATGTCCTATAAAAACAAATATCTCTCTCATATCTCTCATTTTGCCTAGGAGCCTTTTCAGGTTTTCATCCTAGCATCTCTTTTTATTTTCCATCCTTTCCACTCACTCATTTTTTTTAAAGCCATTTTTGCTTAGATTGCCCATTTTTGGGTTTTCAACCTAACTAGCATTTCTTTTCTTTTCCTTTTTTTTTTTGATTTTTTTTTATTTTTTATTTTTGAAGAAAATGATGTTAGTTACAAGGTATCAAACTTAAGTACGTACCAATGAGTGACTCCCCCTCACTTAGCTCGAAGCACTGTCCCTAGTGCTCGTCTCCGTCATACTCGGGATGAAACAGACATCCTCGTAGCCTTGAATTGTCCCCTTGCATTTGAACTTTCGGCCCTATCCCTCTTCGGTGCCATTGATGCCCTTTTGACGCTTTGAAATTCGGACTTGGTGTTTTTGGGGTAGGGTTTCGGATTTTTGGGGAGGGGGAGAGATGGTGTAATTGGTGGGTATGATGTGGAGAGGAGAGTGAGGGAAGTGTTTGGTGGTGGGTTGAGGGAATTTGGTTGAGTGATGATGGAGATATGGAAGGAAAAGGGTCAAAAAATGGTGGGTTTGGGAGAGAGAAATCGGACATTGGGGTTTGGGGAAGAAGTGACTTGAATTGGGTCTGATTTGGGGTAAAAAGCTCAAGTACCCGATCGGGTGGTTTGATATACCCGATCGGGTAATTTAATTCGAAGGATTTTTTAGCTTTCCAGATTAATTCACCCGACCGGGTGACTCGAATACCCGACCGGGTATTACGTCGTTGTTTTTTTTTCCTGCTCCAGGGGTTCTCATCCGATCGAGTTTGGGGGTACTCGATCGGGGAATTTAATTCGAAGGAAAAAATTTTAAATTTCCGTAATATACCCGATCGGGCCTTATGGGTACCCGCTCGGGTACCCTCTTGAAAATTTTCTTACTTCTCGATCGGGTTTCCTCGAAGCCCTGCCTTTTCATACGTACCCGATCGGGTATAGCAATGGTGCCCGATCGGGTACCCTACCCTGGGACGTGTTTTTGTCCAGTTTTAACCTATTTTTAGTGCGGATCCGATCGGTTAAGTGATGAAGACCGATCGGAGGTTTTCCCAGGCTTTCAAAACATGGTTTTCCCTCATTTTTCTTTTGAGAATTTTCCTCATTCTCTCAAAGTTGATATTCAAAAACAAAAATTTAAAAAAAAAAAAAAAAAAAAAGATGAAAGATGCGTACCTAAGCATGGGTTGCCTCCCAAGAAGCGCTTTAGTTAACGTCGCGGCACGACATTATTATTATTTTTTTATTGTTTTTATGTGGGATCGTGAATATCCCCTGTTTCATTCTTTTTCTTCAGCCTTTTCCAGTAAGGCCGAGATTTCTTCTTTGTTATCACCTCAAACACAAGTGATTTACTTTCGTATTTAGGTGCCTCTTCTTTCAAAATAGATTTTTCTTGTTTAATTCTTTCCTTAAAAAGTGAGGTCTCCTTGGCTTGTTTTCCAACAAAAACGTTTGGTGTTTGTGGTTCAAAAACATTTAGGGAACAAAGAGATTGGTCTTTAAATTGTTTTTTCGTAGAATCAAAGATGTTGAATTCTACCTTTTGGTCATCAAACTCCAATGTTAATGAACCATTAGACACGTCTATTTTTGTTTGGGCGGTTTTTAAGAAAGGTCTCCCCAAAAGGATGGGTGTAGTTTGGTTATCGGCTTCCATTTCAAGAATATAGAAATCAACAGGGAAGACCAAATTTTCAACTTGTACTAGCACGTCCTCTACTACACCCTTTGGGTATGTGCAAGACCTATCTGCCAATTGCATTACCACCCCGGTTTCATGCATAGGGCCAAGTTTTAGGGACTTGTATAATGAATATGGAATAACATTGATTGAAGCCCCTAAATCCAACAAGGCCCTAGGAAATAAAGTGTCCCCTATTTTGCATGGGATAGTGAACATGCCTGGGTCATTGCATTTTTCCGGGAGTTTCCTCTGGAAAATTGCTGAGACACGTTCACTAACCTTTACCTCTTGTTTTGCCTTCAATTTATCTTTCCTTTTTATTGTGCATAGTTCTTTTAAAAACTTTGCATAACGGGGAACACTTTTGATCAATTTGAAGAGTGGGATGTTTACCTCAGAATCGGCGAAGGTCTCGTAGAGGTCCCGATCATTCTTCAGCTTTCTTGTGTCCTTCAGTGCTTCGGGGAATGGAGGAAGTGGCTCATATGATGAAAGTGGAGGGGATTTAGTTTTCGTTGGTTCCCCCTCGTTTGGTTGAAAATCTTCTCCAGGATCAACCCCATTTTCAGATTGTTTTTCTTCCTCATGCACCTCTTTCAATGTTGGCTCATCCCTCAACATGATTGCATTAACATGTTGTCTCGGGTTTTGCTCCGTTTGAGATGGGAGTTTACCCGAGTCTTTTGCCTCAAGTCGGCTCACCGCAATTGAGATCTGGCTCATTTGATTTTCCAAGTTTTGGATGCTAGATTTCGTTGTTTCTTGGAATTGAGCCACACTTTGTTGCATCGTTGAAATATTTGTAGCAAGTGCTCGGATCATGTCTTCGGTGGACATATTTGAGCTTGAGGTTTGGCCTTGGTGATTTGGGAAGGATTGTTGAAAGGGCTGATTATGTTGTGTTTGAGGGTTCCCATATCTCAAATTCGGGTGATCCCTCCACCCGAGGTTGTAAGTGTTAGAGTGTGGATCGTACCTCTTTTGTTGATGAGATTGAAAACCCAAGGCATTGATTTGCTCTTCTTGGAGATTTGGGCAAGAATCGGTTGGATGCCCCTGTTGTGTGCATATGCCGCAGACCTTGACCTCTTGGGTTCTAGGATTTAAGAGAAAATCCTTAACTAAAGAAGTCAAGCCGGCAACTTGACTCTCCAAAGATGAAGATGATTCCGCCGCGGCAATTTTACGGGTTGAGGATCTTCCGTTGTAATGCCTAGAGTTCTCCGCCAACTCCGAGAGGAGATTTCTTGCTTGAGAAGGGGTTTTGTTAACAATGCCCCCTCCGCATGCCGCATTCACCATTCTCCTGTCGTGTTCCGCAAGACCATCATAGAAGTAGAGGATGAGGTCTTGTTCCGTGTATCCATGGTATGGGCAACTGGCACAAAGCTTTTTGAAGCGCTCCCAATATTCGTAAAGTGATTCATCATCACCTTGTTCGATGTTGCTGATTTGCTTCTTTAGAGATGATGAAATGGAAGCGGGATAATACCTTTCCAAGAAGCATTTTTTCATGGCCGCCCATGTGTCTATACTTCCCGAAGGAAGATAGAAAAGCCAATCTTTTGCGGTGTCCTTCAAGGAGAATGGAAAAGCTCTGAGCTTGATTTGCTCCTCCGTGACTCCGTTGGGGCACATGCTCGTGCATACAATGTGGAACTCTGACAGATGTTTGTTCGGATCTTCCCCCCTTAAGCCATGGAAGGATGGCAAAAGATGAATGAGTCCTGATTTTAGCTCAAATGTATTACCCTCGTTGAGTGTAGGGAAGGTAATACATAACGGCTGTTGATTCAAGTTCGGAGCTGTGAGCTCCCTTAACGTTCTTGTTTCGAGAGCCATAGTTGTTGGTTCTTCAGGCTCGCTAGAATAAGAGTTAGCACTTGATGAATCTCCCGAGTCGGTATTTGAGAATTTATTTTTCAACCGCTCGAGAGTTTGCTCTATTTCGGGGTTTGATTGGTAGGTGATTTCGTTCAGTGAACGATATTTTACCATATACTTCACAAAGCTCAGAAATAGAAGAACAAGAACTCTTTTTATTTAATTATATTTTTTTTTGAAACAAAATAAAAAGAAAAATAATTGCCTTTCCCCGGCAACGGCGCCAAATTTGACGTGCACTTGTCGTGAGGTGCACTCAAAATAAATACAATACGACACTAATACGTAGTATAGTGTAGTAAGGTTCGTATCCACAAGGAAAGGAATACTTTTCTTCTTACAGAAATAAATAAGTAACAATAAGGGGGGTTTATATTTGGTTGATGAACTTTAAATTATATTTAAATATGAAGATGAACGAGTTATGTGGTTTAATTAATGAGAAGAAGACTTGGCTTTGCTTTTATCCACTTAATGAAATGTTCGTCGATCCCGGTTATATCTTTAATTATCTTCCTCTCGAATACTCAATCGAGGAGTATATCCAATTCATCGAGGGTAGTTATTAATAACGAGACGCGTTCATTAATAAAACTTACTACCGAGTTAATATAGAACACGCGCCGTATATTCACTCGATAGTAGCAATAAAATCAAGATGAAAACGGTTGAGATTGATAACCTCAACACAAGCGGTTTATTGGTTTAATCAATATAATTAATTCCCCTTGGTTTATTAACCATGAAACGCATGCATTAATAACCCAAGTTTACTACCGCGAAAGGACCGAATTAATAACAAGCGTATTAATCGACCGATTCTAGTAATAATTAATATATGAAACAAAACTAGTTGATCCTTTAAGTAATGTTCAAAATATTAATATGAAATATGAATAGGAATTAATTAATACTCAAGGAAGAATATTAAAGAAGATGAATCCTACTATAGTTAATATCAAGATGTTAACTAATTGTCATCTTAGTAACACTCCCCGATATTAACGTAGAGGAAGAAATAACTATTACTATAACTAATGTCAAGATGTTAACTAATTGTCATCTTAGTAACACTCCCCAACATTGATATAGAAATAGTATTTAAAGAAAGAATTAATATTCAAGGAAGAAGATTAAAGATAATAACTCACAACTTACAAATTCATTAAGCTTCAAAGTAGCAAAACCAAGATGGAAGAGTTTAGCTCCTCATTTGGAGACTAAACATGATGAAAAATATAAAGAAAGAACTTGTCTAAACTGAGCTAAGAAGTATATGTGAATTGGTGCTTTTATGGGAAGGAAATGGGGTGTATTTATAGGCTTTTGGGAGCTGCAGGGCTGTGTACCCGATCGGGTATATAGGATACCCGATCGGGTATCTTAGGAAATTGCCCAGAAACTGAAAAATAGGGTCATACCCGATCGGGTCTGTCGGTCACCCGATCGGGTATGACAATCGAACATGGCCAAAATCTTTCCCGCATGTTGCTCGGTTCCCGGGTTGATCCGATTTGATTTTTTAGAAGGGTACCCGATCGGGTATAGGTCATACCCGACCGGGTACAGACCAAAAACGAAATCTCCACTTTTTGTCTTGCATTTTTGCACTTTCCTTCCACTTGTGGTGTTCACCAATGGTCCCCAAAGTGTTCTTGGACCTGTTTGAGCTCAGAATAAACCTAATCTAAACATATTACAAATATTTTACAAACTAAACTATTACACCAAAAGTGTGTAATTTCCGAAGTAACATTCACTCTAAACTAATTAAAAACACAAATTTACACATGGAAATTACATGAATGTCAAGCGGGGATGAGGCCGGTCTTCAAGTATGCAACACACGCCGTGCCGAGAGGCCGGTCGTGATATCATAGTGTCGGCAATGGGAGGCCGACCTGATGTAAGGATGGTCTCACGGCCCTCGGCCGTGATGGTCTCCTCTAGGCCCTCGGCCTCTGAATGATGGATGATCGTCTCACGGTCCTCCGCCGTGGTAGTCCACTCTAGACCCTCGGCCTCTAGGTGTTCTCTCCTAGGCCATCGGTCTCCTAGGCCGTGATGGTCTCCTCTAGGCCCTCGGCCTCTGGGTGGAGATGCTCGTCCATCGGCTCTCAGCCGTGATGGTCTCCACTTTAACTGGCCCTGAACGTCTTTGAGACTTAGGCCGATCGTCTTTTAATCATTTCGCTCGAGCGTGTCGAGCGGCTTCAGCTGCGCAATAAGCATGGTAACGGATCGCACGGCCCGACAATATGTAGACACACATAACCATCTGCATGGCTCTCTTTCTAACACCCACGATTACCGGCCTATGGGTTACCGTGACCCTCGGCCCGGCTCATCGTGCGGGGATAATGGACGTAGCAGCTCGCGGCGGGGCCAACTAGCAGCCCACCGAACGTCACATAGAAATATTCACCGGTCTGTGTGTTTTCAACTCAGACCCAAGTTGGTCGCACTGCCCTCGGAAAAAGGAGGTTGAGCGCTTTGGTGCCTTCGGGCCCCACAGGCCGCGTTTGGCACAGTCACTTCGCGCCTAATGGCGTAAATGGTACTAGGGTACGATCGTCGCTCGAGCACTTGGTGCCGTGCGGACTAACGCGCAACCCTCAAATTAAAATGCGTCGTCGGGGCATCGCCCTTCTGAAGACGCTCGGATCACTTAATCACGCTGATCGAGAGTGGGCCAACAGGCCCACAAGAAATTAAATATTCAATAAAATGTTGGCTGAACCAACCATCACCAGAGCTTCGCTCCACATTATTTAATTCAGGACATTTTTATCCCTAATAAATAATAATGGTGTAACAGGTAATAGCAATGAAGTTATCCTATCAAAGGCCATTCCGGTATGCTCCACCCGCTAATTAAAGCCGATCAGGGGCGGGCCGACGGGCCCACAACAACCAGTCATTAAATTTAAATGACGGTGAAACTAGTTATCACTAGAGCATTACTCGACATTATTTAATTTCGGGAGATTCTATTCCCTAATAAATAATGGTGATAAAAATACTAGCAATACTAATATTTTACACTAATTAATTAGTAAAAGAGAAAGTATGTGTGATACTTAGCTCTCTGTAGCTCGCTTGAAATGTACGAAGTACTCCGTAGCAGTTCCCACAAATCAAGTGAGATGGTTGACTTTTCCCAATAGAACACGGTGCTCCACTCGCCCTTACTGTTAACTCCCAGAGTTTGGCTACGTGGTCAGCCTCCATCCAAGTAAAGAGCATCCTTTGGGGAGGCAGATGAACATCCCACCAAGGCCGGCAGTGCAGGTCGTCCTCTGACTGTCTTTGTCTCCAAGGACGTGGACCGCTGGGCACCAAGGGAAGTAGATGCAGAGTACCCTAAGGCAGATGCAATATTCATCCGCCAACGGAAGGTCGACAGTACGTGCCGGACATCTACTGGCGGCGGGGATGGCGGCTATGGCGGAGCAGCGGCGGCGAATTCTCAGCCCGAATCACCCAGACACGGCTCCGGTGCGGCGAGGTCTGGAAACAGGAGGGTGAGTTTCTGCGGAGCACGACGCAATAGGGGAAAGTGACGGCTTTTCCCGGCGGCTCCGGCAGCCCTGGCGACCCCCTTCCAGATCAGTAAACCTCAATATCCCAAAAATTCCGGATTATTCATCCTCCTCTCAGCCTTGCTACGAAACCCATATTTTCGAAATTACCTTTTCTTTTTTTCCTTGTTTTGCTTCTTACTTTCAGAATCTTTTCCCTCTTTCTTCCCTTGTCGAAAATCAGTCCAGTTTCTGTATCTCTTTTGTGGAAAATCAAGCTGAAGTCAGTAGCTTTTCGTATGAATTTTTTGTAGAAAACTCAAGAACAGTAGAACACATGAATCTTTTTGGACAGATTCCCACAGACGGCGCCAGTGTTGAGTTTAATCCAACACGATATAGTAAATATATGTATGAACACTCAGTTTTTACGTGGAAACCCGAAAGGGAGAAAACCACGGGACTTTTTAGGCTAATGTCCAAGCCCTCTCAATTCTCATTAGGACTCTCCTCACCATTACATTGTACAAGCTCCCATTCATGGGGTATTTGAGCTAAGTCTAAAAGAAAGGAGGAAGAAGAGCTAAAAAGGGGTCCCTAATATGGAGGGAAACTCCCATATTTATAGAGAATAGGGGAAGGGGATGCTCTCCACCCTAATGGGCCGCATGGGCCGGAGTGGGCCCAAATGGCTAAAGTGGGCCGGATGGGCCGAAATGGGCCTAGCTGCTCGGGCTCCGTACTACGTAAAGCCTTGGACTCCTGCACAGTAATAGGCCGGGATAATATATCCCAACACCATGTTTTGTCTAAACCAATCATATTATAGTATTGGTGATCCTTATTTAGGAAGGAAACAATGATGATCCCATATGCACACTATACAAATGTTTAAGTCATATTTAAGAAATTAACTCTATTATTATCACCTCATAAATTATCCCCTCTAATGATGTAATCATTCTGAATCATTTTATATTGGAAAAACTGTCAAATAAGCCCACCTACTCTGTACGGTAAGTCAATTAGACCCATGTACTCCAACATCGATCATTTAAGCCCACGAAGTCACAAAAACCGACCAATTGGCCTTTTTTGGAGGTCACCAACCGGTAAGCCTGTTTAAAGCCTACTTGGCTTCTTACGTGGATTTTTTTTAAAGCTGGCAGAGTAATCCACCTGGATTATTTGTTTACATACTTTCACCCCTTCCCTTCCTTAACGTTGAAAATTTATGTACCCTAATGTTGAAATCTCGCGAATGAAGACGCGGTTGACCTCATCGTTGAAGGGTTTGCTGGACGCCATTGACTTACTGGACGCCATTGACAAGGGAACCGCAACCAATATCCATTTGGGTAGTTCGAATAACTACTGTCGGGTAAGTGTGAATGGGATTTTTGTATTACGAAGAGTGTTTGAGCATTGGTTATTTAAGAGCGTTTGTGTGTGCATCGTTGGTGTAATAACAATCAATATCCATTTAGTTGTTTATGCTTTAGCACTTGGTAGCCGTTTCAGTGGTGTGTGTAATAAATTAAATTTTTTTGGCTATACACTGATGTGTGCTTTTGTGTACAGCATGTTTGAATTTGTGGAGCTTGTAATTCACCATGGAGGGAACTTTGTGAGTAGTCCTCATTCCATGTACGTAGGTGGTGCAGTGGACATCATCAAGGTGGATCCGGATTTCATTAGCTTCCCTCATTTGATGAAGTCCTTACAATCAGGAACATATGGCAATATAAGTGAACTGTTTTTCAAAAGACCTGAAGAACCAATGGAGTTGCTACGTCCCTTGTTCAATGATGAATCCACCCTACATCTAATAGAAATGGCTAGCAGGTGTGGAAAGTGTGAGATTTATGCGCACCATGGTCTGGATGAGCCTGAAATCCTTGAAATCCCTGTTTTACCTGTGCCAGGTGCAGATGAGGGTGATGCAAATGTTCATGGTGATGGTAATGATAATATTGAAATTGAAAGTGATGGAGATGGTGAAGCATCCGAGGAAGAAACTGAAGATACTATACAAGATGATGGTGAAGACGAAGAACATCAAGATAGGCATGGCCATGAACAGAACACACATAATGAAACTTCAGAAGATGAAGACAGTGTTGAATATGACTCATCCAATCCACCAAGCTAGAATGGTGATTTACAAAGTGAGGAAGGGACTCCAAAAGTGTTTCATTCGTACAACCCTGATTGTGAACCTCCTAACATAGAGGTGGGCATGTATTTTGAAGATGGTGCACAATTCAAGATTGCTCTTGTTAGATATGCTGTGCACGAGAAAAGAGATATTAAATTTGCAAAAAATGAGCCTTTAAGAGTGCAGTACAAATGTGCCCCTACATGTTCTTTTGCATGCACTGGCAGTTGGGAAGAGAGGTTGAAATGCTTCCAAGTGAAGGTGTTAGATCTAGGGCACAAATGTAATTTGAAGTATAGGTTAGGCATTGTGAGCCAGAAATGGATTGCTGAAAGGTTTGAAGACAAGGTTGTTGAGGACCCTACTATGACTGCATTGGAGTTCAAGAAACTAATTAAAGCTGAGCTGAAAATACATGTCTCAACAAGTATGGCGACTAGGGCTTTGAGGGATATTCATAAGAAAACTGAAACAGATTGGAAGGACCAATTCAAAAAAATTAGGAACTATGGTGAGGAATGCCTAAAGTCTATTCCAGATAGCACAGTGGTGATTCATACTACAAGAGTAGTTCCTCAAGCTCCTGCTGTATTTCAACGCATATATGTGTGCTTTGGACCTGTTAAAAGAGGTTTTCTTGAAGGCTGTAGAAAGGTTATAGGCCTAGATGGGTGCTTTCTTAAAGGACTACTAAAGGGGGAGATCTTAACAGCAGTTGGTAGAGATGGAAATAATCAGATGTACCCCATCGCTTGGGCGGTAGTTGAGATCGAAAACACCTCTTCTTGGACCTGGTTTTTAGACCTCCTGAAGACAGATCTGCACATAAGCAGGCCAGATTTATGGACTATAATTAGTGACCAACAAAAGGTAATTGACTAAAATTCTGAAGTTCTGTTATTAATTCTGTTTTCCATCTACATTTGTGATACTTTCAAATTAATGTTAAATTAGTTCTTATGTAAAACTATGAAATAAAAGTTGTTACTTCTTAATTTGATCTGCCTTCTTATTAAATTTCTTAGGTACTCTAAATTTGATCTACCAAGTTATTAAAGTTCTTAGGTACTCTTTTTCAGACTTTATAACTTTAAAAGAAATGTTTAATTTGTGCAACTTTCATTTGACATAGTTCCCAGGGCCTATATTAGACTATAACTTTCATACTTTAGATTAGGATGAAGTCTGAATACATTTGGATGACTGTATAACTTTCACAGTTTATTCCCAGGTCCCTTTAATATGCAGAACTTCCATTTATGTTAAGGGCCTATATTTAGACTTCATTGCATTAGTATCATTTCATATTTAAATAACAAAAACTTGCTTAACAATAGCAAGCACATTGAAATAACTACAAAATATGTTGTGACTTGCTTATCATTTCATTTTGGAATAACCTGACTGCAAAAGTTATAAACGACAAGTATGCTTATGAAATCAATTTGGTTAATCTTATTAAAATATTCTTACTGCAGGGTCTTTCTAATGTCATAGCAAGTGTATTCCCGGGGGCGGAGCACAGGAATTGTGCCAGACATATTCATGCAAATTGGAGCAAAACTCATAGGGGCATGCTTCTTAAAAAGCTATTCTGGATGTGTGCAAAGTCCACCTGTGAAGAACAACTGCAGGCTTCATTATTAGAGTTAGATAAAGCAGACATCGAGGCTGGTAGGGACCTGCGTAAACATCCTTTCAAGCTATGGTGCAAGGCTTATTTTAGGCCTGAGGTGAAATGTGACACTGTGGAGAGCAACTTATCAGAGGCCTTTAATAGCACCCTTTCAGCAAGCAAAACCGCTTATTCCCATGTTAGAGTACATGAGAGTTGCAATGATGAAAAGGATTGCCAAAAAAAGGAAGTATGTGCAGAAGTGGTCAGGTATAACATGTACTACATTCACTTACCAAAACTATACTTGAAATGACTTCAGAATAATTACAATACAATTATGCAGGACAATTTGGACCTATTATTATGCAAAAATTAAACAAAAGCATCTTAGCTAGCCAAGGGTGGAATGTTGATTTCAATGGGGATGATGGGTATGAGATAAAAAAAAAAAGGAAGGCACCAGTTTAAAGTCAGTCTAAAAGCAAAAACATGTTCATGTAGAAGGTGGGATTTGTCTGGAATACCTTGTGCGCATGCCATTTGTGCTATATTTGACAATGGCCAGGATCCTGAACAATATGTGGATAAGTGCTATTCGAAAGAGTTATACCAGAAAACTTATGCATACACTCTTCCACCTATCAATGGAGAGCTGTTATGGCCACGTACTGAGCATGAAGAAATCTTGCCTCCAAAGCCTAAGAAGATGAGTGGAAGACCAAAGACTGCAATGCTTTTGCCTTTTTTTTTTTGTTGATGTTGGCTGTAAAGTAAGGGGAATCTGTGGGGCTGAAATTTTGCCTTGGTGTGGCCCGGATGTAATGCTTTAAACATGTGAAAGCTGTCAAAACTTTTGGGATGTACTGTGCTCACTTGACCTTTAATATAAACTACTTTTGGGTCCTTTTCGAAGTGTATTCAATTATGTTTCCTGCTTAGTGAGTCATTTTGCATCCAAGTATGAAGTTCCAATTTTATACAGAATGTATGATTTAAGTCTAAAAGACTTAAACCTCATGGGTCTGTATGGGTCTCATGAAATGCTATGGAAAGAGGAAACAAAGCTGTGTTATTTCCTTGAACTGTTGTCTTTGGTTTTACCACACAAAATGACAAATGGATAAATGATTAAGTTTTGCATCCAACTATTAACATCCAAGTATTATACAGAACATCACATTTAGTTTTACCTAAATGATTTAGTTTTACAAATACTTAAAGTAGAACAATTTTGAATCCAACTATTAACATCCAACTATATAATGTCCTTTTCCAGTTTACACAACTATTCAATTGTTGAAGTAGATTCCAAATGCATTATATAAGAACAATGTTGACACTCAGAGCTATGTAAAGACAAGCAGATAGGAAGAATTTTTCACTCTCTCCTAAGCCTTAAAGTTATGGTATTAAAGAGAAGTTGTGGTAAAATTTTGCACAAATCAATTCATTCTAAATGTTAAAATTCAGAGCTAGGTGAAAATTACTTCTGCAACTACATGCAGAGTAGTGTTAAGTGTGCACAATTACACAGGTAAAAATGAATTCTAATGCCATCACTTTAAACTCAATTAAATAAATATGTCCCAACAAGGATCGTGTTAACATTACCTCTGCAAATGAAAGCAGACTACAAACAACATCACTTGCTCAAATACTTCTAAATTCTTAGTACATGTAGCTACTCTTGTTGACATTCATATACAGAATACCAAGAAAACAAACAACTACAATGAACACTAAACCACACATCTGCCTAAATCTTTTGTTATCTTGTGCTTCTTTTTCAACAACCTTTACAACACATCCAAGTTGTTCTTCAACAGCACATATGTGTTCAGCAATCCCAGAAACCAAGGCCTTCATATCATCTGTATTCGTCTTCATCAATCTACCAACAAGTGGCGCTTTTCTTTCAGCCGAATCTGAATCCTTCCACATGAAAAAACCACAACCAGCACCCTGAAATTCAGAAGAACATGGAGACAGTTTCGTTATTTTGTATGGAAAACAAAATATAACAAATTTAACACAATACGTAATTACTTACCAGCCAATTTTGACACCCATAAAAACTTCTCCCGCTTCCCCGTCCAACACACAGAGGGGATTTCAATCCACAATGGCAGTACACAGCCGGATGGTAGTCTAAGGTACAGCTTCGCCCTTTGCTGGGAGTAGATTCAGATGCACTCGACATTCCTAAGGGAAAGCTCACACGGCCAGACGACGGACGACGAATCTGAGGAGATAAGGGTTGGTGGTCGAAAATTAATAAGATTAGGTCGTAGATAAGGGTGAGGGGGACTACAGATTAATAATCCAGGTGGATTACTCTGCCAGCTTTAAAAAAATCCACGTAAGAAGCCAAGTAGGCTTTAAACAGGCTTACCGGTTGGTGACCTCCAAAAAAGGCCAATTGGTCGGTTTTTGTGACTTCGTGGGCTTAAATGATCGATGTTGGAGTACATGGGTCTAATTGACTTACCGTACAGAGTAGGTGGGCTTATTTGACAGTTTTCCCTTTTATATTTAGTAGTTGAATTATTGTTCTTCTATGAGTTCTCATCTTGAAGGGGACATTGAGAATTTAATTTCTTTAAACAAGTAAACTTTTCCATTGAATTTTTTTTGCTTGGCGCCGCTTTCTCTAATTTTCTCCTCGTTTTTATTTATCATATTCAGATTCAATCCTTTGTATTACACCTTGAAATTAATTAAATTAATAAATGTTATCATGATTGAAAATGTTTGTCTAACAAAATCTACAAGTTATAACACCAACACTTAATAGAAAACAATCAACCATTAAGATATCAAACAATCAACTATGAATGAAATCGGTTAATAAACTACTCAAATAATCATATCAAACTAATCTGCTTATGAGTGGAATTTTCAAAACTCATAATCTTTATTTTGATAATATTTCTCTCCTACTTTTTCTATATTATTCATTACCACTACTATTCTCCCTTAAATCTTGAGTCATAATCAAACGTAGTCATCTTTTAAATACGGAGGAAGTACTTTTTATTACATTTCATATTTCATATGAAATCAATATTGTGCGTAAGTCGAAGAATAAAACCATTCTAATGCATTGGACGAAAATGCTAAAAGGGATAAATTTTCCATTTTTTGTTTAAACCTCGTTATCCGAACACCCCATTCTACTTTATTAGTTAAAAATTGTAATGTTTTAAAGTTTTCTCATATGAAACCTCTTCCGTTTAAAAAACCTCTTAATACGCTAAATTATTTTTTTATGTTTACCTATGAAGTATTAGTGTTTTATGAAATCAATATATATAAGATGAACTTTTTAAGAACATACAGAATGTCACATAACTCTGTCATATCATATTATTTTAATATACGTAATTATAATTTTGGCCAGATTAAATATCGACCAATTTATTTGGAAAGAACATTACGATTTTATCCTTCCAAACCAGATTCTACGGAGTATTACGTAGAATACTATGTTTAAATTTCGGCCAAATTTTAATTTCTAATTTCATGATTTTATCCTTCCAAACCAGATGATGGAATACTACTACGTATATTTCTATATTTAACTTTAAACAATTATGACTACGCATAAAAATTGATGAATGATGACCGTACATCACTAGACTATATTTTCCATCATCATCTCTCATAACTACATTAGGCTCATCACTAGACTATATTTTCCACCATCATCTCATCATATTTTCCAGATTAAATTTCGAGTAATTTATTTGGAAAGAACATCACAGTTTCATTCTTCCCAACCAGATTATACGGAGTATTGCATAGAATACTATATTTAACTTTTAATTTCGGCCAAATTTTAATTTCTAATTTCATAATTCAGACATCAATATATATGTATATATATAAGAGAAACTTTTTAAGGGCATTTAAAGCACCACATAATCCTGCCATGTCATTATATATAACAATTATTTAGTTATTTTTATACCTTTTTGCTTTTATTAGATTCTATTTTTGATTGGATATTGATATTGATATAGGAACAAAAGACCATAGAAATACTCCCTCCGACCCCTTTTAAATGTCTCGGAAGAGGGTGGCACGAGTTTTAAGAAAAGTGGTTTTCTGTGGTTGATATTAATTGATAAAGTAAGAATAAAGTAAGAATGATTTTGAGCCATACAAACTTTACCAAATAAGGTATGACACAATTAAAAAGGGACATCCCATTATGGTAAAATGAGACATTTAAAAGTGGACAGAGGGAATACACTTTAATTAATTTGATAATTAATCAGCCCATTCAGCCAGAATTTAATCAATTTAAGCAAAATAAGCTAATTCGACTAATTTTAGTATTATCAAACATATTCTATATTAGATTGAATTCATTTTGTTGTTGCATCACATTAATTATGATCCCGGAAAAATCAAATTTAAAATTAGCTAAAATGCATACTGCCCGTGCATCGCACGGGCTTGAAAACTAATATAATAAAAAGTTATGAATTTTGATATATTTTTTAAAACAATTAGAGTACAAATAAAAAATTATTTTTTTTATTACAAATAGATTTTGATATATACAAATCTATTTTGTATAAAATAGATTTTCTCAAAGTGATAAATTATTTTTTAATTTGTATATATTCAATATCGGTGCCATATGAAAGATAATAAAAAGTTATGAATTTTGATATATTTTTTATACTAATCAGAGTAAAAATAAAAACGGTATAGCATTTTAAAGAAAATTGGGGTTTTTTATTTTACTGGGTCCCACGTGTAGCTTCCTTGCCTTTCTGTGATGCGCACCTGGCTTCCGATCTTCAAGTTTTGTTAAGTATAGTTTAGACCATTTGGAGTGGTGCAAGAGTCCAAATGTCAAAAATGGACTCCGTCAATATGAAAACAGTGTTTTGACTCCTATTTTTCTGCACTCCAGCACTGTCAATAAAATACACTCTGAACATTTTTTTACATATCAATTTATTAAACATTAATTAAATTATTATAAGTACTCCGTAATGTTTTCTTTTTAATTTTTTCTCTGATTAATCATAAAATAAAAAAGACACATTTTAATGTAAAAATAAATAAATTTCATTACTATTTTTTCCAACAAATTTTAATTAAAAATAATTGAAAAATAAATGAAATTACTTTAACTGTTGGATTTCAATTTCAGCCTTTGGATCAATCTTTTTCCCGTTCAAACAGTGTCCAAGTGATCACAACCGTTGGATCTACCAATTCTTTAAAATAAAAAAGCCATATGCTATTGTGAGTGTCACGTGACACGAGCATGACACCATCATGATGTCATGCAATTAGTTTATATCCTGCTCACCATGCCCAGATGGCATCTTTTCCTCTACGCAACCAAACTGTCCATCCCCACCCTTTTTACTTTTTCTTTTCCATTTAATTTTAGGGATTCAACTTAATAGGCGGCACCCATATGCAAGGGGGATTCAACTTAAACCATATAGAACCCTCCATCCCATTACCCATTTTTACTCTCCCACTTTGCCAACCACTACAAGGAATTAGGAGTCCAAAAATTCCACTTTTAACATTTTAGACTCCTAATCCTACACCACTCCAAGTGGTCTTACTCCAACATTACTTTGGGAAATACAGTTAACCAAATATCAATTTCGTGAATATTTTTTTATTCAGCCTTATTTTAGAAAAAAAAAAACTCTCTAATTTGAACTTTCAACTATTTTTTTACATAATCTACGATTCATAGAGAACATGATCATAAGTTTTTTTTTAAAAAAAAAAAGCATTCCGAAGAACTTCAACAATCTACCCGAACAATTGTAAATGTAGGGTTGAAAAATCAGTCTACTCACATCTATTACAAAGAACTAAACGTGAGCCTATTTTTTGCTCAATTTTTTTTTTTTTGCCTAGGGCGACCGTCCCCCTTGCACCCCTCTAGGGCCGCCCCTGAATCAAATTAAAAATCTTTAAATCAGGTGTATTCTTGCTTTCAAATATTGTGAACAATTAATACGAAGCATACTTATCTAATAAAATATTTTAGAGTTCTCAATATTTTAAAACATTTCAATTTCACCACCACGAAGCAACCACTGAACTAAACTCGGTTTTCTTTCAGTATTAGTACCCAACGACCCATTAATATGAACTCGATCAAATAGGAAATGAGTGATATTCAAACTAAAATACGGAGTAACAAAATTGGAGAGTATAAAAAACATATCCCATAGGGAAAAGGGTCAAATAAGGTGGACTCGGGCCGGGTGGCCCGACCCGGAACCGGTCTGGGACCGGCACTGTTCCGGCCCAGCCCGAACCGGTGGCCCGGCCAGTGACCGGTCCAGGTAGGCCCAACCCGAGGGGTTTCTGGGCCGGGCTCGGGTCACCCAAAACATGAACCGGCCCGGTCAGTCCGGGCCCGGTTCCGGGCTTTTTTTTCCCCAACTTTTTTTAAAATCCCCAGGTTGGGCTGGGTATTTTGGACCATTTGGGGGAGGGGGAGGGGTTATTATAAAAAGGGGGGAAAAATTGTAAGAGGCCCGAGGCCCGGACCGTACCCGGTGGCTACCCGGGCCGGTCCCGAGCCCAACATTTCCTAACCGGCAGCCCGGTCTGGCCTAGGCCCGGCCCAAGTCCAGCACTACAAATAAGACATTTTCCCTATATTCAAATATTACGAAATCGTCAAATAATGTCATATGTTCAGTAAAGTGTCGTATAAATACACCTACTTGTAAAAAAAACGATTGGATAAGTCAAGACAAATCATTGACAACCTCCTAATCCCGATTTTAATTTATGTGTCGTCATTTTTGCCTTATATTTAAGTCAATTCTGACCAAATATTTCATGTCAGACTCATAATCTATTTTAAAAACTTGGTCATTCATACATTAAAATCGGGATCAGGAGACTATCGTTGTTACTTGTTAGGACTCATTAAATTGTTTTTTATAAATATAAGTATTTATATAACATTTTATTGAATATTTTATTGAATATATGATTTTTTTGTGACTTTCTCTATCTTTACTAAAGACTCAAACCACAACCTAGATTCCCAATGAGATCATGCATAGGGTGAATCCAATTCCAACTCTAAAACCGAGAGATCCTACCGGCCTTTTGACCACACAGAGTCCAGAACAAGAGCCAGCCCAACGCAAGTGTTGTTCTCATTCTACATATATATTCCTAGACTATTAAATTTAGGCCAAATTACCAAATTGGTAAAAAAGCAGGGTACTTTGTCAAATTGATAAAAAAACAACCCAATTGAGTCAAATTGGTAATAAAAAAAAATAGAGCCCCATGATAAATTGGTCAAATTTTGTGAGTGAGACACTTTTGATCAACGACTTTAGAATTTTCGACATTTTATATTCTATGTATTGCAAAATTGACATTGTGAAGCATTCTACTTTAAGTTTGTCATGAAAAGTGAAAGACTAAAAATGTCAACAATCGTGTTTGATATTTTACAATGTAGAGCCAAATTGCTAAAAACAATTGCAAATCAAGTGACAACTTGGTAAATTTTTTGTCAGTGAAACACTTGATCCTTGACTATGGAATTCGCGACATTTCATATTCTAAGTATTGTAAAATTTACATTTTCAGTCATTCTACTTTGACTACAACGTGGAGCCAAATTGCTAAAAACAATTGTAACTCAAGTGACAAATTGGTAAATTTTTTGTGAATGGATCCTCGATTATAGAATTTGCGACATT